GAATCCAAACTGATAAATAACTTTGTTTAATTGTAAAACCTAAATCTCACTCCTCTTTAATAAACCCAAACCGATAAATAATCTCGTCTAATTATAAAATCTAAACTATAATGCAGATTTATAAACTCAACATATAACCCTTATAATTGTAAAACCTACAATTGGCAAAACCAAAAATTAGGTTAATAGTTGAAAGAGAATTTTTGAGAAATACCCCTTTTATTATACCCCTTTTAGTGTACCCCTTTTTAAAAATACACAAATTTCTATCCATTTTAAAAATATCCCTTTTCAAATATGAAAAATTGTAAACTTGTATATAGTTTATAAGGTACATCTAGAACATCATTAATATTGGGAGACTCAATACAAATATTTATAAAGTCTTAAAAAGGTTCTAAACGGCATTTATAAGACTTTTATAAGGTTTTTATAAGGTTTAAAAAGCTTTTATATGTTTTTAAATAATTTTTAAAACGTTTTGAAAAGGTATTTATTTGGTATTTAAATTTACACACATTGAAAGATAATTTGTGGCTAAATATATAAGCTTTCACATTTTTTTATATTATAAATATCATTTTTTTTTACTTTTTAATTATCAAAAATACCCTTTTCCATACCACTTTTTAAAAATACTCCTATTTCAAACTTTATAAAAAAAACCACTTTAAATGTTGAAATTTATCCAAATATGTGTGAAAACTTATAAATATACACACAAATTATATATGTTTAAATTTTTATATATTTTTCATAAATAGCGTAAAATAACTTATAAATACCTTTTAAAAACCTTATAAATATACACACAAATTATATATGTTTAAATTTTTATATATTTTCATAAATAGCGTAAAATAACTTATAAATACCTTTTAAAAACCTTATAAACCCTTTTGAAAACCACTTAAAAACCTTATAAAACTTGTAAAAACGATTTAAAACCTTTTAAAACATTATAAAATATTTGTATCAAATTTCCAAGTAGTAGTTATTATATAGAAATACCTTATAAACCATATAAAACTTTATAATTTTTCATATTTAAACATGGATATTTTTGAAAATGGATAGATAAAAGAGGTGTTTTTGAAAATGGGTACACCAAAAGGGGTATTTCTCAAAAAAAATTATTTAATTTTTTTATAATTATTTTCTTAATGTTGTTTAAAAATTCTATTTGTATCGTAATATTAACAAAATTAGATATAACATGTTGCGACATCTTATGTTTTTACTTGACACTTATCATGATCACGTGAGTTAGTAAATTTAAAAATCAAGTTTCGACATATAATCTCGTTTAATTGTTAAACTTAAACCATAATTTTAATTTATAAAGATAAACCATAATTCTTATTTATCATTTATATGCCCAAACCAACAAATAACCTGATTTAATTGTAAAATTAAAGTTTAAACCTTAATCTTCGTCTGTAAACAAAAACCGCCATATATTCTTGTTAATTATAAATTTTAAATCTCTATCTTATTAATAAACCAAATTGACATAACTGAAATTAGGTTATTTGCTTAATTTTATTAATAATTTTTAATATATAATTCTTTATAATATTTATTTTATATATTTCCTTTTTCGATAGGGTTAATAATATTTCTATTTTATCCAAATATTAACAAAATTAGTTACGCCATGTGTCAACATCTTATCGTTTATAATTGACATGTGTCACGATCTTGTTAATGGCTGATTTTGAAAACCAAGGTTTATATAATAAGTATTTATTTTATATATTTCCTTTTTCGATAGGGTTAATAATATTTCTATTTTATCCAAATATTAACAAAATTAGTTACGCCACGTGTCAACATCTTATCGTTTATAATTGACATGTGTCACGATCTTTTTAATGGCTGATTTTGAAAACCAAGGTTTATATAATAAGATATATATATATTTTTTTTTCTTTACGGGTCTTATGATTAACCAAAAATATAATAAGTAAATTTAACCATCAAGGTTGTGAATTCATTTTTTTTTAAGTATGTAACTACTGATGACGTTACATGACCATTATCGTCAAATCTATGTATGTTTAGGCGGTTCTTTCGCCTACTTAAGAGTGGAGCTAGGCGACTTCATGGCCTTCATTGCCGCCGGAAACATAATCCTCGAATACGTAGTCGGCGGAGCTGCCGTGGCTCGATCATGGACCTCTTACTTCGCCACTCTTTTAAACCATAAACCTGACGACTTCCGCATCGTAGCTCACCGTCTTGGTGAAGACTATAGCCATTTAGATCCAATCGCCGTCGGCGTTTGTGCCATCATTTGCGTTCTAGCAGTCCTTGGCACAAAAGGTTCATCAAGATTCAACTACATCGCTTCTATAATCCACATGGTCGTAATTCTCTTTGTTGTCATCGCCGGTTTTACCAAAGCCGACGTGAAAAACTACCAAGATTTCACTCCGTATGGTGTTAGAGGAGTGTTTAAATCCGCAGCTGTTCTTTTCTTTGCCTATATCGGATTCGATGCGGTTTCCACTATGGCTGAGGAGACCAAGAATCCGGGGAGAGATATTCCTATTGGTCTTGTCGGATCGATGGTGGTTACTACGGTTTGTTATTGTCTCATGGCGGTTGCGTTGTGTCTTATGCAACCGTATAGCCAGATTGATCCGGATGCGCCATTCTCGGTTGCCTTTTCGGACGTTGGATGGGATTGGGCTAAGTACATTGTCGCGTTTGGTGCCCTTAAAGGTATATTTGCATTTGCTTTTGTACATGTTTATGTTTACTTCACTTAATGAAACTCACAACACTAAGCATTTTAAGCAAAAAAAATCTTGGTTTTTGCCACATCCAAACTAAATCTTTAAAATGTGTAGGTATGACGACGGTTTTGTTAGTTGGAGCCATTGGTCAAGCTAGGTACATGACGCACATAGCTCGGACCCATATGATGCCTCCATGGCTAGCTCAAGTCAACGCGAAGACCGGAACACCAATTAACGCTACCGTAGTGATGCTCTCCGCGACAGCTCTCATCGCATTCTTCACGAAGCTGAAAATTTTAGCGGATCTCTTGTCTGTTTCCACACTTTTCATCTTCATGGTCGTCGCTGTGGCTCTTCTCGTCAGAAGATATTACGTCACGGGAGAAACATCGTCCAGTGACCGTAACAAGTTTCTAGTGTTCTTAGGTTTGATTCTAGCGTCCTCGACAGCGACTGCTTTATATTGGGCCTTGGAAGAAGATGGTTGGATTGGGTATTGCATAACGGTTCCGATATGGTTCTTATCCACAGTTGGGATGAAATTTCTTGTACCGCAAGCTAGGGCTCCGAAAGTTTGGGGTGTTCCTTTGGTCCCGTGGTTGCCTTCTGCTTCCATTGCTATTAATATCTTTCTTCTTGGTTCGATCGATAGTAAATCTTTCATTAGGTTTGCAATCTGGACAGGTATATTGCTTATATATTACGTCTTGTTTGGGTTGCATGCAACGTATGATACAGCAAAGGCCACGTTGAAGGAGAAGAATCAGAAGATTATGTTGCAGAAAGTTGAGGAAGGTGGTGTTGTTGCTGATAAATCCACAACTTTAGATCCCTAGCTAGTTACGTTGGTTTTAACTTTCAATCTACGTTAACTTTCATGTTTTAGTATTTGTCAGATTCTTGTTTGCTTAATTAGGGTTCTCTGATGCATCCACATTGATAAATTTCATCAGTGTTTTTGGATCGTTAAATATAAAAGAATTACAGAAAAGAGATATGGGTATGTTAAAACATATATAGTTGTGTTTCCAGGTCCTAGAGACATTCAAATCCCCATTCTTAATTAGGATGTGTAAAATAAAGATGAGCAAGTAGCTAGTACAGTACTTGAAACAAAAAATTAACTATTTTATAACAATACACATAAGAGTCCCTATACTGTATATAAGATCAGCATTGTTAAAAAAAACATGGAAGTTAAAAAGCATGGGATAGTGCACATAAGAGTCCCTATACTGTATCTCTACAGTTAAATGCAGGAAGTTAAAAAAGCATGGGATAGTGCACACATTGAAGAAGCAACTAGTGATACAGATTCTTGCTCTGGCTTTCTGTAAAAATAACTTTTAAATCCAAGGACACCTCAATCAAAAAGAAAGGCTAATGAGACAGGAAAATATAATATCAAAGGGAGACAACATGAAGTGCAAAGAGGAAGATAAAGCTGGATGATGAAACAAACTAGGTTCCTAAGTCTAGTCATTTGATCTTTCGAGTTTCTGACTCAAATCTTGAGTGCTGCTGTTCTATCAGTAATGATGAGTTTTTGTCCGGATCAGATAATGGAAGCATTGCACTTTGGTCAATATTAAAAAGGAAACCAGTGCCAGTGTTTATTGTTAAGAATGCTCACCCTGTGATAGCTGATGATGGTTCTGTTAGCAGTACATCCGCATGTTCTTGGGTCAGTTCAGTCGTGATCTTGTTGCATCGGCAGCTGGTAATGGTTGTGTGCGTTTATGGGGTGTTGAAAGTGAATTCAGAGCAATACAACCTTTATACGAGCTTCCACTTGTAAGTTTGTTTTCGTAGTTTGGCTCTTATTGCTATTTGTGTGATGCATCTGAATTCAATGACATCCAATGCTTATGATCTTTTTGCAGCCTGGATTTGTCAACTCTTTGGCTTTTGCAAAATCTGGTCAGTTTCTGATCGCTGGAGCTGGACAGGTACTCAGTTTCCTCTGATCAGACATATATCTATTTGCTGTGTGAATGCCAATCTTAATTGTTGTGTTTGGCAATATTGTAGGAACCGAGGCTTGGAAGATGTGGATGTATAAAACCTGCGCAGAACGGTGTTGCAATACATCCAAGGCATTCATGAAGGGTCTCGCCTTATATTGATTTTTCTGTTAGAACTCAAGTTATATAGAGGTACTACAACTAGTACAATTTTTCTGACATTGAAGAGAAGAAAAGAGAACATGTAGAGGCTCTGATTAAACAAAGTCTCATTCATTCCTATGGATTCTCCTTCTTTATGCTTACAAGTCTAGCTGGTGTGTTACAGTCTTGTTGGATTGATTAAACAACTACTACAGTCTGACTTTAACTCATAGAGGAACCTTGTTTTTGTGGCATTCCTATAGAATACTAGAACTTTTAAAATTTGTGATTCATGAACATAAATTTGACTATTTTACCAAAGATTCGGATTAAATATCTCTAGAAAATAGCTACTGGACTAAGTAAAACAATGCAGCCGAGAGGTTATCAGATGAATTCTACCACTAGCCAGGCCTGGATTCTCTCAAGACTAAACCGACTTCTGCGGCTTTTGAACTATGATGTTCCTTGGAAAATCATGGTCTTGCAGCTTAGGATCCTTCCCATACCGGGTAGGAAGCTGCAGAATATGAATTTGGAGAGCTTCAAGCAAATAGCCAAAAACAATGCATTTGAATGACGAAGCAAAAGCAGAGGCAGGACATCATCTCCTACAAAACGCTCTGCAGAAATTCGGTTATACATTCATCATACTATAATTATATACCATGGATCTGGAGTTGTTCATTTGCTAATCACTATTTAGGAGTATGATTTTGGAGTCTGGACACCAAGTTTGAGGCTCTGAGCTCATGACCCCTAACTTTACAATTTGATCACATGACCCAGCGGCCTTTACAACAATCAATCAGTAGACATCCTAAATGTTTGTAAACCCAAGAGACTGAATGAGGCAACAGAGACAAAAGAGTGATCCAACCGAGGCATGTAGATTTGGGTCTTATTAAGCCTGTTTTGTGTCACTTTGTCTTGATCCTGTTTGCATATTCCTACTATCAAATCAACATTTTCCAGTAATCTGTGTATGTACACAGTCAAAGCTTCTAACAAGGGGATGATTCCATTTACATCCTAGACAACTTCACCATTCAGAAGCCGGTATGATATAACTTAGTCTCAAACAGACGAAAGTAGAAAAGTATTAGATTTTCAATATTCAATATTATTTCAGGTAAGGAGAAGCACAACATAGAGGGGTAATTGCCATATGACCAATATTATTTCAGGTAGACAAACGTCTCAAGTTGTTTCCTTTGATCGAAATCCAATCAACACAACTCATCTCCAACACACAAAAAAAAAAACGAGTGAAAACTAACAGCAAAAAGACAAATTCCTCTTACCATCATCTCAGCTTCTCTTTACCTGAGCTCTTCTTAGCTGCATTCATAATCTTCTCCAGATACCCTTCAATAGGCGGAGTAAGCGTAGCCATACCTCGATTCGCCGGAAACGGAGTTAAATCACGCTCTAAAGCAGCCTTCTTCAAATTCTCCGGCAATGCCTCAATTGCAGCCTTTCTCAACTTCAACAAATTAGTCTCGGCCACACGTCTCGCCCTATGCTCTCTCATAAGCACTCTACTATACTCCTTAGCAAGTCTCTTCCCATCCTCCACCGTCACCTTATACTTGGGCAACTCATCTTCCGTAAAAATCCCTAACGAAATGTAATCTAATCCCGGAGTCCCAATCCTCATCGGCTCAGTAGTAACTCCCATAGTAAAAGGTCCACCTTTCTTCTGAATCTCAATCTCTCGTTGCCTATCCTTACTGATCAAGCCTAGCTTCTCTCGTTTCGCCTCTCGTTCAATATCCTTGGGTCTCAGGTAACGAACAGGGCAAGGAGCGTTTAGGCATTGATCGTATAGCTTCTGCTTCTCATCAGAGATTCTTCCTTTTCCCTTAACCGCTTCCTCACCACCTCCTCCGCCGCCTCCTTTCCTGATTGTGAGTTTGTTGCGCTTCAGTGGTTGGCCTGTCTTCAGCTTAGCTTTTCCTTTAGGGGTTCCACTAGCGTAGCATTTCTGAATAAGATCGTAACACACTAGCTCAATTCTAGGTTTTAGTCTCGCAAATCGGATCATTCTGTGATTCTGATCTCCTCGGAGCTCTCCGTTTGAACGAAAATGGTGGATACACTATTACACTTTAAAGGTTTAGGGTTCTGTGATACGACGCCGTTCAGGACCTAAAACCACAATGTCACTGGAGTGCAAATTAAGCTGAAGGCGAGGGTAAACGGGTCATTTCAGTTACTGTCATCAAACTCACACTCGTTTTTTAGCCTTTTCTCTGGTTTCGTTCTCTGGTTCAAAAGCTATAGATCGCTCCTACGCTTTCCTCAAACCTCAGTCTCCGTTGACTACTGAGACTCGTCGACCTCTGATCCGCTTCTTGGCCTTGTACGGATCTACTTCCGATCTGTAAGAAGCTTACATCTTCGTTTGTATTTTTTTGGATCCATCCGTCGTAGATGCGTAATTTTGGATTTTGATGAGTTTATCTGTTTTTTCTGGGTTTTCGTATGCAGTGATGATGGCTGGAAGTGGTTTACGCTTTCTGGTTCTGATACTCGTCGTTGCAATTTGCGGTGCTGCTTCTGTTTTCCAGCCGATCTCAGACTCTCACCGATCTGCGGCTGTGGATGTCTTCGTACCAGTCGATGGATCCTACAAAAGGTTAGTTTCTCTATATAATTTAGTTAGCATTGTTTTGATTTATGTTTTTAATCATATATCACTGATTACAACTTGGTTGCTCGTTGAAGTTCATGAATTGTTTTGTGTGTAGTATATGATTTTTTTTTTGTGTGTAGCTATCTAAAATTTTGAATTTTTTCTTAAATCAGCTTGGAGGAGGCTTATGAAGCATTGAAGACTTTGGAGCTTCTTGGAATTGATAAAAAGTCTGATCTTAGCTCCGCCACTTGTGAGAATGTGGTTAAAGTTCTAGGATCCTCTTCTTCCACTCTAAAGGATGCATTCTACGCTTTAAGCGTTAATGGGATTCTAAAATGTAAAACTGGTGAAGCTGTTCTTAAGGTAAACAATTGTCTCCCACTCAGTACAACAAAGTCTTTTACCTTTAAGTGGTTAAAGACTTAAAAGTAAGTTCATTTATTTTTTCGTCTTCCTCTTTGAAGGATATTGTTTCTCAACTTCAAGCTGGTGTTAAAGGTGCAAAGTCATTGCTTGACTTCTACTATTCTGTCAGAGGCTTGGTTCTTGTTAAGGTAAATACCAATTAGACTTTTGATGTACTTCTTTAGTGGGATTGAGTATTTTTTTCCAAACAGTACTCCTAAGAGATTTTTGTTAGTCTTTGGCTCATTATTTGGAAGTATATAAATAGTTATGCAGAAGGTACTAGTGATCGTGATAGTTTTGTTTGATTCAACTCAATAGCTTTGGCTTTCTGCTTCTCCTTATTAATGGCTACAGGTTTAACATTGCCTTTCCGTATATACAGGAGCAATTTTCTGGAACTGATTTAAGTCTTGGAGATGCCGAAGCCATTTTCCGTTCCATCAAGGTTTGAAAATTTCTAGCTCACCTTCTATTTTGTTGTTGTTAGACTATCAGATATTACATTCTAGACTGTCTTTTTGAACTATTAATTATAGACTCTGGTAAAAGTGTATATATTTTTGACATTTACTGAAAGTCAGTTACTATATTATTCTGAGTTAGACAGTTTTCCGAGTAATATTTTACTGATATTTTGAGTTTTTGTCAGACTCTAAGCCAGACTGATGGACGATGGCGCTACAGCTCCAACAATGCTGAATCAAGCACCTTTGCTGCTGGTAAGTAGTACATATTGGACCTTTTGATTATACATATCTTCCTTTTTTGCTTCAGCTTGTTCACTTCTTTTGCTCGATAGTTATTTTTTTTTTCATTCTTCTCAACATAAGATTTTGTTTTCCTCAGGCTTAGCCTTCGAAACGCTTGCTGGAGTGATTTCATTAGCACCTTCTGAGATTGATCAATCATTGGTAAGTGAGATCTTTGATCCACTATAGTATTGATTTCTTGAGAATATATTTTGATGAGACGTCACAACAGTATCCTGGTCTAGTGTTGATCTACTTTTGGACTGGAAGTCTTTTAGTAACTAAAATAAAGAATTGTATTCTGATAATTATAAATTCCAAGTCGTAGCTTCAGGGAATTGTGTTCTACAATTTTGTTTTGATAGTTATAAAGAATCGTGTTTTGATAATTATGCATGTCTACCTGACTTCTTATTTGATTATGCTGGTGGTTTCTTTCTTGCTATTTGATCTGGTAGTTTGGGTGATTTATCTCGGTTATGTGATGATATATTCATTCATGTTTGTCATCTTGTAGATCCAGACATTGAAGACAGGTATCCAGAAGCTCTTTGACAGTATCCAAAAATATGGTACGTAGACTTGTTATCTTATGTATATGGCTATAAGCATTTTTGCTCTATTTGGTTTTGCATTTGTGGGTTTTGATTATTTTTCTTTTCGGCCTTTTAGACGATGGTACATTTTATTTCGATGAGAAGTCTGTCGATGCAACCCAAGGCCCGATCTCAACTACTGCATCAGTAATTAGAGGGCTTACGTCATTTGCAGCATCAGAATCCTCAGAATTGAACGTATGTAATACTCATATTTCTGTGTATCGTATTCTGCCATATGTGTTGATAATTCACCTTCACGTTCTCATTCACTCATGCAGCTTCCAGGTGATAAGATAGTTGGTCTTGCCAAATTCTTACTTGGTGTTGGAATTCCTGGTGATGCCAAGGACTTCTTCAACCAAATAGATGCACTAGCTTGTTTGGAAGACAACAGGTAGTGCTACTTATATGCCATATTATGCATTTGCTTTAGAGTTGATTTCACTTTTCAGTAACCTTGAATTTGGTGACGGAGACATAGATTTACAATGATTAATTGTTACTTCCGTTACATATGTCAAAATATTTTGAAGGTCTTAAAATACTCCATCCTAGATTTTTAACAAAATGAATACTGTAGAATGATATGTGTAGGGATGAATAGAAGTTTAAAAGTGTGAACACTTCTACATCATCATTCTATGGAACACTAATATGTTTTTGGCCATTCTCTATCATTTCAGGTTTTCTGTTCCACTAATCTTGTCTCTTCCATCTACTGTCATTTCATTGACAAAGAAAGAGCCGTTGAAGGTACCTAATCATAAACTTGCATCAAGATGTGACTGGCAATTTCGATGTTCTTTTTCTCTCTCTGTAATCTTTTTCTTTTTGCCGTTTGGGTTCATACAACTCTCTTCAGAGTTCTGGGTGCTGTACTATTAGTAGGATAGTCTTACTTTGGACTTTTTGGCTTTGTTTACGTGCCCCTGTTGATTAGTGGTAGTTTTAGTTGAGACAATCTTAATTTAGATTTACTGGCTATGGTTACGTGTCCCTGCTGATTAGTGGTACTTTTAGTAGTGAACGACTTAACTTTAGATTTTTAGTAGTGAAAAGTTTTAACTTTGGATTTTCTGGCTATAACTGTTGGATTAGCTGATATTTGGTTTAGAGATTACTCAATCTCATAGCATTGCCTTAGTGGAGATCTCTCATTTATTTGATGATGACTCATTTTAGTTGACCCTTCATCCATTACGTGTTTTTGTATATTATTTTAATATTTTAACCTATATCTGATACTAGGTTAAAGTTAGCACTGTACTCGGTTCTAAGGCACCAGCTCTTAGTGTGAAGCTCGCACAAGCTCTAAGTTCTAGATCAAAAGATTCTTCTGTAATTAACAGCCAGGTAAAATAATGTACCTTCTCTGACTGTTTGAGCTTGCAGTTGTAAATGTTCTGTATTCTCTGTGTTGGTCTGGTTTACATGTTTCCATGACATTTTGCGGTACAGGAGCTTAAGTTTGACGCTGACAGTGCAACATACTTCCTGGATTCTTTTCCCAAAAACTTTGATGTTGGAAAGTATACATTTGTATTTGAGGTATTCCTCTTGTTAGTATATGTTTACCCAAAGACTTCATATAAACGTATGTTAATAACATGATAAGCTTCGTCTTCTGCAGATTATGTTAGATGATTCAGCAAATGAAAAAGTATACATAACCGAGGCTCAAACAAAAGTGCCTATAGCCGCCACAGGAGTTATTAGCATCGAGAATGCAGAAATTGCGGTACTTGACAGTGACATTGGGAGCGTTGAGTCTCAGAAAAAGTATGTCACCTATATTGTTGTTAATAAACTTCCTTTTTCGCCTGATGTGATTGATTGCTTAATCATTATTCTTAGGAAATGTGTACCATTTGTTAGTTGCAAAATATATATTTTTCATAGTTTTTCTTGTGCTTCAATTTGTTTCTTGGTTCTCTTTGCAAAATTTGCAGGCTAGATTTAACTAAAGATGGAGCGGTATCATTATTAGCAAACCACCTCCAAAAGCTACGCCTGTCATTCCAGTTAACTACTCCACTTGGCCATGTATTTAAGCCACACCAGGTTTGTTCATTCCTGATTCCGCTTTATTAATGGTTTTGTGCTGTTCGCTTTCTTGACTTGCTTATTTCCATGCAGGCATTTTTCAAGCTAAAACATGAGTCACAGGTCGAGCATATCTTTCTCGTGAAAACTTCTGCAAAGAAGTCTGAATTAGTTCTAGTTAAGTTTCTAATACTACATTATGAATTTCTTTTGCCGAAAAATTCTTTGACTTGTCTTTATTCTTTTTCTTTGTCTCTACTTATCTTCAGTTTTTACGCCCAATAACAATATTAATGATTAATGTTATTTTTTTTTCCAGGATTTTCTTGGATTGGTTGAGAAGCTCTACTACCTTTCTGGTAAATATGAGATCCAACTAACCATTGGAGATAGTTCAATGGTAAGTACTGTTCTTTCAGATCCAATGCCAGTTGATTTATGTTTCAGAAATTTGAACAATGTTATTTTCTTTTCTCTTTTTCCAGGAGAACTCTTTATTGAGTAATATTGGGCATATTGAACTTGACCTACCAGAGCGTCCAGAGAAGGCGCCTCGTCCTCCTGTGCAATCTACTGAGCCTTACTCAAGATATGGACCAAAAGCTGAAATATCACACATCTTTAGAATTCCTGAAAAGCTTCCTGCAAAGCAGCTCTCACTAGTTTTCTTGGGTCTTATAGTCCTCCCATTCATTGGTTTCCTGATTGGGGTCAGTATCCCTTTGCTTGTAAATAGTATCGCAAAGAATATCATCACAGCTGTTTCATTACTTATAAAATACTTTTCTGTTTCAGCTTATGCGGTTGGGAGTGAACATAAAGAGCTTCCCATCATCGGCTGGTTCTGCAATACCCGCTTTACTTTTCCATGGCGGAATTGCAGCTGTTCTGCTTCTCTATGTGCTTTTCTGGTGGAAGGCAAGTCTCCATAACCCCCCGATTCTTGTTTACACTATAAGCACCATTGTATCAAAAGTGCTCATCACAGTTTGTTTTCTTTTGTTTCATTCTACAGTTGGATCTGTTCACGACTCTAAAGGGAGTTTCATTGTTGGGAGTGTTTCTGTTGTTCGTGGGACACAGAACACTCTCGCAGCTCGCAGCAGCATCGAACAAGTTGAAATCTGCTTGAAGAATACACTATGACGGATCTTCTTTTTTGGTTTCTGCGTTTTCAGTTTTGTAGTATTACTACTTATAGATTATGGTGATTAAGAGACATTCCAAAACTTAACTCTCTCAGTTTTAGTCTTAAAAGAGTTATCAAGAGTCTCCTGCCGTAGCCTTTTCGTTGAACCAAATCAATTAAGATAATTATTAGCTCGTTATTAGATCAAACAAGTTTATCAACACTTTCTCACTTTTTTTTTTTTTTGGACAAACACTTTCTCACTTTTAAGATGAAAAATTATAAGTATAACAAAAGTATAATAGGCTGAAATTTCATTTCTGTCAAAATTGTAAAAATAATACTAGTAAAGAAGCTTCTTTTGTGGATATATATATATATATATATATATATCCGATAATATTCATATGTACTATATTTCTTTCTGAATAATAGAAACAACGTAGTCAACGACAAGGAAATGTAAATGGTATTTGACCCTTGACATGCCATCGTTACAACTTTACAGTTAAATGAGAAATGAAGAAAAAGTTAAATTGAGAAAAGAAAAAAGAAAAGCACGTAGACGTAGTTGTCATTTTGAAGATTAAATTATTTTGTTTGTTCATCTGAAATTTTGTGTTAGAAGAAGAACATATCTTTCTCTCTCTCCTCACCCCTCTCCTTGGTAAGAACGTCCAACCCAAATCTAATCTATTTCTCCTTGTTCGAATTCCGTACATGTTTTTTCTTTTCTTACGATTCTGATCATTCTTTATCGCCCTTCTCTATCCATCGAGTTTGAGTTTCCATTGTAAGTCGACTTTTTCCTGTCGGTCATGTTTTCGTCGTTGAAATGTTATCCGCAGCAATGGATAAAGATTGGATTTTTTTTTTCGGTTTGTTCTCTCCTTAATTTTTGGAACATGAATCGATGCTGATGATCTACAATGAGTATTTGAAACGATATGTTCTTGGTATTTCTGCTCTTGTGGTGTCCCCAAAATGTTTGGTTTTTGAATTTGCAAAGCAGAGTTTGATCTCTATTGGCTTTTTTTTTTCTTTTAAATGAAAGTTTCGATTTTTTTCCTAACGTTATTGTGTGTTTTCTTTGTTCTTTATGTAGGATTCTGTTTGATGATTGCTAGCTTTTTATAAGAGCAATGAGTTATTCTGGAGCCGGACTCGGAAAGCCTGGCTCAGGTAACCATTCTTTCTAAGAAATATTTAGTCTTTGTGTGTTCATATAGTCACATGATCTTTGTCCTTGTGACTGGAAATTCAAATATGGTTTTGTGGTGTGAGATTTACAGGTTGTGACTGTTTTATATTCCACCTTGTAGGTAAAAGGAGAATAAGGGACCTCTTAACTCAGTCTGATAACCGAGTATGCGCTGATTGTGGCGCTCCAGATCCTAAGTGGGCGTAAGTTACGCGATCTTAATGTTTTCTTCTGAGTAATCATTGTATGCTTCTCTTTCAGTTTGTTTACTGATATGTTTTGATTTCCTGCCTTAGATTTTCTTGTTTCCCTACTTGTGCTTTTTGTGTTTGCTTCGTATACCCTAAAACTTTTGTTTTTCTTAATCAAGCATTGGTGGCTTATTACAGGTCAGCTAATATCGGAGTGTTTATATGCTTAAAATGCTGTGGTGTGCACCGAAGCCTTGGCACTCATATCTCAAAGGTTATCTTGCTGTAGATTGCTTCACCACTTCTTCTTGACAGAATCTGTTGCAAGTGTATTGATAGTTTTCAACTTTCCAGGTCTTATCCGTAACATTGGATGAATGGTCAGATGAAGAAGTCGATTCTATGATCGAAATTGGAGGTAATGCCTCTGCAAATTCAATTTACGAGGCGTTTATACCTGAAGGAAGCTCTAAACCTGGACCTGATGCTAGTCATGACCAGCGTATGAGGTTCATTAGGTAGGTTGCTAAAACCTGATAAATAGTGTATACACCTTCATTAATGTTTTAGTTACATATTCATCTTCAAATCCTTATTACAGGTCAAAATATGAGCACCAAGAGTTTTTGAAACCAAGCTTGCGGATCACATCTGTGAAGGGGTCTAGTACAAAGAGTTCAGCACAACTTTCATCAAGTCTATCTAAAAAGATTATTGATAGCTTTCGCACAAATTCATCATCACAACACCCGGTAAAGCTTCTTTACTTTTCTTTTCTTTTTTCCCATTTCATTGTAAGGATCAAGTAGAGCAAACTCTTTGAACTTGGATATTGCTAAATCTTCTGAGTCATGGTCTTTAACACATTTCGTTTCCTTATGACAGCAACTTGAAGGCATGGTCGAGTTCATTGGATTGTTGAAGGTGACTATCAAAAAGGGTACCAATTTAGCCATCCGAGATATGATGTCAAGTGATCCCTATGTTGTGTTGACTCTAGGACAACAGGTAATCTTGAAAAGGTTTCATATTTATAAGTTCTTACCACTGTTTAAGACTTTAAGTGATCATTATTGTCATCTCATTTCTGATCTTTATCATCATATTACCAGAAAGCTCAATCTACTGTAGTGAAGAGCAACTTAAACCCGGTCTGGAATGAGGAACTCATGCTCTCTGTTCCTCATAACTATGGCTCAGTTAAACTGGTAAAAACTTTGTCTAAATTTTTTTGAATCATTTTATACTTTTGATGAATCTTCTGTAAACCTAAGGTTTTTTCTTATGGTCCTCTTGTCTTATTTTCTGACATTTGCAGCAAGTGTTTGATTATGACACATTTTCTGCTGATGACATAATGGGAGAAGCTGAGATTGATATCCAACCTCTGATTACTTCTGCAATGGCTTTCGGAGACCCTGAGATGTTTGGAGATATGCAGATTGGAAAATGGCTGAAATCGCACGACAATGCTCTTATAGAAGATAGCATCATCAACATTGCAGATGGGAAAGTGAAACAAGATGTTCAAATCAAGCTTCAGAATGTTGAATCTGGTGACTTAGAACTAGAACTGGAGTGGCTACCTCTTGACCAATAAATAATCAACTTATATAATAGGGGTCATTATATATATTAAACAAGTCTTATTATTGTATTCATTCATTACAACATTTCCCCCTTGGTTCTTGTTTGAAATTTTTGAAACTTCGATCTTGAAAACTCTCTTTGGTATTTGTTGTAACGTTCTTTTTACAGATTAGACTTTTGTACAACTTGAATGATTATATGCTTTATTGATTTAGATGATCTTCAAATCTCAGACTGAACCAAATGTATTCATTTGAAACCATAGATAACACGCTTATAGGTAGCTAGATCAGGTTTCATCCCCAATTTCAACATTTCATCATGAGATTGCTTAGCTTTCTTCATCTCCTTCACATGACACAACCCTTGAATCATAATCGTAAAACTCTTGCTGTTCACTGATTTCATCTCTTTCATGTACTCAAACACTCTAACCGCTTCTTCCACCATTTCTCTTTGCCTCATCATAAGCCGATCAAGAACCGCGTTATAAGCATTCACATCTAAACTTCCTTTCATCTTCTTTATCCTTTCATGAAGTTCCATCGCTTTGTCTAACTTCCCGCTTCTGCAGTAACGTTCCATCAATATCCCGCATGAAAAGGAGTCGAAATAAACTTCCATTTCCATAACTGAATCAAGAAGCTTCTCTGCGTGCCTCCATCTTCTTTTCCGACACAGAGATGCTAAAACTTCTGATAACCTGCGTGTACAAGGAACAAATCCGCGCTTTATAACATCTACTAGTAATTCCAGTTCTTCCTCTGGGCTATTATCATCTCTGCAGAGAGCATTTGCGAATTCTGTATAACAACTCTCATCAAGTACTGTAATACCTTTCCGACAAATCAATCGATATACATCAACAGCTTCTTTTGTTCTCCCTTTTCTAGACAGTGCTTTTAACATACAACCGTAAGTCCCATCTCGCAGCCTCACTGTTTCACCATTGCAGGCTTTACGGAAAAGCATCTCAGAGGCGAACGTTTTTCCCATATCGCAAAGTCTTTCGATGATTTCATCATTCACGGCCGAAGCATCTACAGCAAGAAACTTTTTTTCTACCATCAATCCAAGAACCTTACCCATCAACTCCGCATCTCCCAGTCTACAAACATCATCCAATACGCAACTGTAAGAAGAGAAACTCAACTCTAGTTTCTTATTATCCATCTCATGAATTACATTAAACACCGCATCAAACTCTCCATTTCTACTATAACATTCCACAAGATTGGTGTAGATCTTGCAGCTTTCAACACCTGTTTCCATCAATTTAACAACACTCTTGGATCTCCCTTGTTCACACAATATCTGAGCAACCAAATCCCAAGTAAATCCATCTGAGACAACCTGATTTCGAACCATGGCACTATACAAACACAAAGCCACTCTAAACTGGCCTTCTTTAATCAGAGAATCAAGAAGCGAGTTATAAGCACGAAGAGAAGGCGAAAGTCTCAATCTTCTCATAAAGCCAAACACTTCCAAGCCATTTTGGTAACAACCCTTCAAGGCATAACACTCAAGAACTAAACTAAGCGAAATGGATAGTGAAACTTCACCTTCACAGCACTTTTGCAACGATCCAACAACTAAAGACACAGAATTGGTTTCAACCAGAGGACGCAAGAGCGTTTCTGCTCGTTCCAAGAGACCTGATTCGGTAGCAACTTCGATTACTCGACATTGTGACTTAACATCCGGATCAAAATGGAGATGGGTTTGGGCAAAATCGAAGAAATCAAGAGTTATTTTAGGGCATTTTCGAGTTTCACGAAGTATCTGGAGAAATACCGGTGGAGTAAGTGTTGACTTTGGGAGCTTGGATTTAACATACTGAAGATGAGTGATCCAGTTACGACGCTGTAAGAGAATTGAAGAGATTTCGGTGGCTACTCGGGACAGGTTCAGTTGTGTTTTCCAATCTGAAGCAGAGGATGTTGATGGAGTCGCTGAAGTCGAGAATCGTTTGATGAATCCAGCACTTGTGCGGAGAAGAACCATTAAGGTGCTTAACCTTCGCTTGTACCAAATCAAAAACCGCAAAATCTATTCTTTTCTTTAAACCCAAATTAAAGTTTCAAGCTCAAAATCTGAAAGGGGTTTAAGGAAGTTAGTCAAGAACAACAAAAGGCCAAGGCTTTAGGCGATTATCACACCGTTACCGAAGTTACCGAACACAGATGAAGATCAGTTTGGGTAAAAAGATAAAAACTTGAGGATATGTGTGAGTCATCCTCTGCTGGTAAGTGCACAGGGGACTCGGGTGCACATGCCCCTTCATTGTTCTTTAGATCCTCTTCTAAAACCAGTCAACGTCGCCATAACTCAATTTCCTTAAACAGTAGCTAAAACGCTGCGTATAAGTCTCCATATCATGTCACGTGTCTTCTCTTCATTGGCTCTAATGATTCATCACTCCTCCCTTCATAAACCTCACTTCTTCTTCTTCGTCTTCGCAATTCGATTCTAAAGTCAGCTGCTTTGTTTCTTCAGTTTCTTCTTAACAGAAGCTTTTATCATCAAGGTACAAAATTTATTGATTCCCTTGTCGTTTTGATATGCATGCAATTCCAATCCATTTTTTTTTCCTTTCATTTGTAAATTAGCAAAAAAAAATTGGGAATTATGCAAATGTCTCCTCTTGATCTCCTTCATATTTTGTTGAATACGATTTTAGATCGAATTATTTTTTTCAAATTTTGCTTCTGTTTAATCATGTTGGTCTGGATCTTTTTAAGTATAAACAAAATGTGAAACAAACAGAAGAGTACTTGTTTCAATCATGTTGGTACGTGTATAGCAAACATAATAGAGCAGTTTTGTTTCTGCAGAATCTCTGATTTTGAAGGGCTCTTCCAGTAAACAAGAAGGGTCCGAAGATGGCGGAGTCGGAAGAGAATAGCGTTTTGTTTCCCATTTTTATTTTGACAATGATGGCAATTCCCTTGGTGCCTTATACATTGGTAAAGCTAAGCCGCGCTTTTTCCAAGAAACAAAGGAGTATACATTGTCAATGCCTTGAGTGTGACCGTTCAGGGAAGTACAAGCGATCCGTTTCTCAGAGAGTTAGTTTTTCTTTATCCCCACTAACTTTTTTTGAATGATGATTTAACAATATATGTTCTGTCCTCTTTAACTTGTTGGTTTGGACTTCTGCAGATCTCTAGTTTCACTTCATGTAGCAACTTGACGGTTGTGCTACTCTGGTTTGTAATGATCTTCTTGATCTATTACACTAAGAACATGAGCCGTGAGGTAATTATAGCTAATAACTAATAACTCTCTCTTCAAGCTTAATCTTAGATTGCTTATGGTTGAGAACTTGAGATTTTCATATGCTTATTCATTATCTTGGTTATATATATTACAGAGTCAACTCTTTGAGCCATTCGGTATACTCGGTTTGGAACCAGGTGCTTCAGATTCAGAAATTAAGAGAGCATATAGAAGACTCTCTATTCAATACCATCCTGATAAGAATCCAGACCCAGGTTGAAAATGATAACTGGTCCTCGTCCTTTTTGATTCGTTGTTATGAGCTGCTTATTTCTTATGTGATGTATTGTATTTCTACAGAGGCCAATAAATATTTTGTGGAGTCCATAGCTAAAGCTTACCAAGCTTTAACTGATCCGTTATCCCGTGAGAACTTTGAGAAGTACGGTCATCCCGATGGCAGACAGGTAATGAAGATACAACCTCCATTGCTTGTTTGCGTTTGTTTTCACATTTAGATGTTAGAATATTGTGTGTTTCACTATTCATTAAATGAAACCACAACTTTCAGTATCCGAGTTAAAACTCCTTCAGACATTGTATCCGCAATATTTAAATGTGAAATAAGAAGGGAGGCTTAAAGTTTACAATTTGTAAAAATAGTTTATGAACACATGTAAAAGCAAAAGCAAATGCACAAATATCTGTTTTAAACTTTCAATGCCATATTCTTATGTAAATGTGATTGTTGCAGGGTTATACAATGGGAATGGCTCTTCCTGAATTTATTTTAAACATGAATGGAGAATCTGGTGGGGTATTGTTGCTGTGTACAGTTGGTTTATGCATTCTCTTGCCACTGGTGATCGCCTCCATCTATCTCTGGAGATCATCAAAGTATACTGGGAATCACGTTAAGCTTCAAACTCGTCAAGCATATTTCGAGTTATTGCAATCCTCTTTAACTCCTAGAAAAGTTATGGAAGTTTTCATCAAAGCAACTGAATACACAGAGATTCCAGTTCGTAAAACGGATGATGAACCTCTGCAGAAACTCTTTACGTCTGTCAAAAGCGAGCTAAATCTGGATCCTAAGAAGATGAAGCAAGATGAAGCTAAGTTTTGGAAACAGAATCCGGCAATTGTCAAGGTTGGTTCTTTAAACAGATTATAAGGCTAAGTATTGAATACACTTTGTAGAATGCTAACTTCTTTTCCCATTGTTTTGTTCTCTGTAACAGACTGAGCTTTTGATACAGAAACAGCTAACTCGTGAACCAACAGCTCTGTCACTGACTTTGCAACGTGATTTCAGACGTGTGCTGGAGTTTGCGCCTCGCCTACTTGAAGATTTAATGAAGGTCTTGTTTTTATTCCCTATTTTTTTACTTAGCACTTTGTATCTGATAAATGAAAGCTTAGTACCAGTTGATGATGACTTGAAACTTCTATATCAAACCTTTTATATGAGAAGCGGAAAGGTTTCGCTTGTTGTTCTTAAATATAGGAAAATTTAAAACGTGGAGTTTTATGATATCGTGAGTATTTTGCAGATGGCGATTATACCCCGGAATGAACAAGGGCGTGGATGGTTAAGTCCTGCACTTGGAGTGATGGAGGTATCTCAATGTATTGTTCAGGTATAAGGTTTTTCCAACTTGTAATCTTCTCCAAAAAGTTTAAGATTTTCCAGCTTAAATAATACTGTTGTTTGATTGCAGGCTGTTCCTCTTAGTGCAAGGAAGTCATCTTCAGAAGATATTGCTCCTTTCTTGCAACTCCCTCATTTCAGTGATTCTATAGTTAAATCAATAGCATCGCAGGTTAAATCATTCCAAGATTTTCAAGAACTGTCTTGTGAAGAACGTTCTAAACTGCTCAGAGAGGTTGCGGGTTTGTCAGAAACTGATGTTCAAGACATCGAGAAAGTGTTAGAAATGATACCATCTCTTAACATTGACGTCACTTGCAAAACAGAAGGAGAAGAAGGTATTCAAGAAGGCGACATTATGACAGTTCAAGCTTGGATCACTCTAAAACGTCCCAATGGACTCATCGGCACTATTCCTCACTCGCCTTACTTTCCTTTCCACAAAGAGGAAAACTTTTGGGTTCTTCTTGCGGACTCAAACAATGTCTGGTTCTTTCAGAAGGTTAATTTCATGGATGAAGCTGGAGCTATAGCTGCTGCATCGAATGCTATTACTGAGACAATGGAACCTTTAGGAGCAAGCGTCCAGGAAACAAATGATGCAGTTAAAGAAGCTGTTGAGAAGGTTAAAAGTGGGTCAAGATTGGTAATGGGGAGACTCTTAGCACCTGCAGAAGGTATTTATAACTTGACTTGCTTCTGCCTAAGTGATACTTGGATTGGTTGTGACCAAAAGACATCACTGAAACTCAAGATTTTGAAAAGAACCCGTGATTTGGAGGGTGAGAACGCAGAAGGCATGGAGGAGGAGGATGATGAGATCGAAGAGGAGGATTACGAAAGTGAATACAGTGAGGATGAAGAAGATAAGAAGAAAGGGTCAAAGAAGAAAGTAAACAAGAAGGAATCGAGTTCTGAGGAGTCAGGATCAGATGAAGAGTAAAAAGTACAATTAAGGAATTATGATCTGAAATACCATTGTTTTTGTCTTCAAAACCTACACAGATAATCAACAGACTTTTACAATTTTGGTGAGTTTTATACTCTGTTTAGTTGACTCTTAAGTTTATATCTTGTTTTTGAATCTTCAAAGCTCTTTAACCTTAAAAGTTCAAAACCTCTATGGTCATGTTTTCGTCAGAAACCCAAGCTTAGTCTCAGAATATATGGCCGTTGATCTCTTTTCCTTACATGATCCAACGGTAGATATGAACTCAAAAGCTCATGAAGCAAACCCTTTTAAGTCATGAAGAGTCCAAATGATCTAGAGAGGGTTCCGTAGAAGTTCCAATCTGCCCTTAATTCGTACCCAAAAGTTCTTCTTCTTCATCTTCATCTTCTTCTTCTTCTTCTTCCTCTTCACTGAGATCCTCACCATCTTGGTTTGCTTCCTTATCTGACAACATATTAGATTTACTCTCAATCTCATTGCCAACCTTATCTTCGTCGCTGCTTAAGCCGCCTTCACCTTCACTTAGCTCATTTAGCTGTTTTGCCTTAACCTTAACGCGTCTTCCTTTGATGTATCTGAACTCCCACTGTGGTGGAGGATATTTCTTCATAAGTTTCTCGTACTTATCCTGCATCTCTAATTTCACAAACACTTTTCCGACCATAGACACAATGGCAAGGTTTGGTTTTACTCCAAGTTCCTCCATGTCAGCAAAGACCTAGAAACACTCAATAGCTACAAACATCAACTTGTCTGAAAGATTATCTCTCCTCATAATAAATACTACGGAAGGCTTTATACTTTACCTCGAAGAGCTTGTGGTGCATATCTCGCTTGTAATATATAGAGATCATTTTGTTGAAGAACTTTCTTGGAGTTCCTTCTAAATGTTCCATGAATAATTTGTTCCACAATTCCTCAGCTTCGTCAAGCCGATTATCTTCTGCTAAAGCATTTAGTAATGAGAAGTAAGTTCCCATTGTTCTTCCTTGGCCTTTACTCAGCATCCATTTCGTCACCTAACAAAGTCCAAAAACTTAATTCTAGATTTATCTATCCAAAACACTAAAAAAAACAGTAAAAAAAAACAGCTCATCTTGCTAGATATAATACCTGAATAATCTTCTTCCACTCTTTTTCATCTTCAAGTATGACTAATGCCTTCTTAACTATAACAAGAGGGAACTCTAATTCCCAAGCAATGAAGGAATCAAGAGCGCCATAAACTTCTTCTTTAACATTCGACAATCCTTTTATCTACAAATAATAAGATACATCATCTCAGTAACAGCTATGAGAGAAGGATAACGTTTCTACTACACAATATCTTCATATCCATTAACAATTCGTGTAAGGATCTTCGACCATTGAATCTAAAGGAGATTGCAGAAGACAAACATATGAAGAGAATGATGAAAGGGACAAAGAGAGCATTACGCAAGCAATCATTTTAGCAGCCTTGGAGATACTTCCAATCCTCTTCCTTGTTTTCCATACTCGAGGAGACCGAGGTCTGGGACCTCTAGCCGCACAAACCTGAAGATAATTCAATTCCAGCAATAAGGCTACTGAGAAATGTAATGATAAAAGAAGAAGCTTTAAGAGCATAACTCTTGAATAGAAAGAAAAAAAACACTACGAACCACAACGTTGTTAGGCCTTTTGGAGAATAGCTTAGTTGATTCCCTTGTTTGAAGAAGATAAGGTAATGAATATCTCAAGCAAAGCATCCTGACGAATCAATTCAGCAAAGACGAAGAAACCAAAATCTTAAAGCTTCGTCCTTTCCAGCTCACAATTCATAAACACTCCAGAAAGTTTTCTAAGAAATGAAACCAACCACAAGAGATATGTGTCGTGAAGTCAAATTCTAATTGAGTACGCTTGCTCCAGAATCGAAACACGTATTGTTCAGCTTACCTGTGGATTCTTCACAGTTATGGAAAAAGGTAAGATTTTTAATTCTTGTGCTTCTCACTCTCTCTGATATTTTTGCGCTTCTCTCTCTGTCGTCGTCGTCCTCCAAGTTCCTTCTCATTCTCTCATCCAAAATATAAGAACGCTGCGTTTTCAACGAATAATTAAGGCCCATTAACCCGAAAGTTGATTAGGCCCATTAACTTGAAAATGTTGACCCGGCTCTATTCTCCTAACTTCAGTTGAGTCTCATTCTCTCTCTTTCCCCATTTCAGTGATTCTGAGGTGTATCTCTCTCTCTCGTGCTTGCTCAAATCAAGGTAAATTTTACTCTTTCTCTTCTTCGATGAAGGTATTTTTTTTATGTCGAATTGATGTTTTGTGATCCATTTTTGCTGTTGACGTGAAGTGCTTCGCCTCCTTTCTTTTTAAATTGGGGAAATTGATAATCTTCTCTAGCTCTTGACGCTAATTGAGATCCGTAGTTTCAGATTACATTGACTTATAACTTGTGACTTGTGTTAGTCATAGTCATATCTTCTATTCTCTCGCTCCTTCAACATTGGGGTTTATAAAAATTGAAGATTTTGATCGGTTCTGTTGTTATTTCCTTCTGGGTTTTTAGAATAGAGGTGGAAAGATCTGATTTTTACAAGCGATTCAGAGTTTGAACTTCTTCTTTCTATTACAGAAGTAAAAGGAAGATGCATCCTCCGCTTACACCACATAGGCATCCAATGTGTCTGGAGGTGAGTTTACTGCATTTGTTCTCTCAATCTCGTGTTCCTTGTTATTTTGCTTACCTCTATGTGATTGCGTTTTTGAGAAATGTTCTAGTTTGTGTATTAGAATGTAAAAGAGATGAGTGCTTTTTTTTGGTGAGTGAAGTAAATATTGGCATCATATCTCAAGCAATCTCTAGCTTTTATATATCTTTGCAAAATTGAGTGGAGTTAAGCTACATAACTGCATTTGGCAAGATCAAACATGTCGTAGAAATCAATTTGATCTCTTTTTGTTGTTGTTTTTACTGATTCTTCTGTATGTCACATGTTTGCCAGATAATTGAGGAGTTTCAAAAGTGTCATACAGAGCATCCGATTGGAAAGTTCTTCGGAGAATGTACAGAGCTTAAAGTGAAGCTTGATCGATGTTTTCGCCAAGAGGTAAGTTTCTAATAGCCAACAAGAAGTAAGCTTTAGCTCAAAGTTTTCCTTTTCTTTTTGGGTGGATTACATTGTATATCTTTACAATATTTTTGCAGAAAGCTGTGAAGAGGAAGGTAAATTTTGAACAAAGCAAGAAACTTCAAGAGAGACTGAAAGCTATAAGGAAAGAAGAAACTGCAGAGACTTGAACGTTGCTTGATACTTATCCGATAAAGAGCTTGTCTATTACGAAAGAATACGTCTCTAAATCAATCCATGAAGAGGAGTTTGATACACTTTTACCCTAGTAGATGAGTGAATAACATGGTACTATACGTCAATTGATTAAAGTTTAGCGTTTCAAGTGAGGCGGTATTTGGAGTGTAAGGCTCTTATTAGCTTGGTCTGCTACAAACATATTGTTACACAATTGCATTCTATTGTGGCTACGAAATATTTTCAGTCTTCTGTTTAATCTCCTTGTACGTTCAGGGACTGTTGAGTAGTGTAACACATCTCTAAACTGAAAAGAACATGTCTTTCTGAGACTCCTTCCTTATACTTGCTATACAAGAAATAGCGGGAACATAAAAAACACCCTCGGAATTGAAGGGTTGAGTTCAACAAAATTTGATACAAATCTTAAATGGTCATATACACAAACAAGAACAAGTAAATATGTTTTGCATTTTTGCTTTCCTTTTGTGTTTGCAAGTATAAAAATAATATAGTAGTATAAAATACAAAAGATCGCTCATGATGATGATTCCACTCTGTGTTGTTGGCACGTGGTCTCGAACAATTCAAAGAATTTTCTTCCAGAAGTCATCAGAAGAAGGAGCCAACCATTTGACTGATCAAATTATTTCACAAGTACCAAGAAGAGAAAAATAATGTTTTAAAAAAAAGAAATTAAAATAGAATTGGAACATTGTTTCATGCAAATATTTGCATCGGGGAAAAAATGTTGCATGTGATTGAGCAAGTCACCACGTATGAGCCGACAAGGTTTCAGGGTAACGGTTATTCTGCTGGATCTTATTCTATAATCATCACATGCTTTGTTTTTTCTCCTCTCTTACATATTCATTTGTCTATGATTTGTTGGACCAATTCACGACCAGAACCACTTCCATATTCTCCTCATTATCTCCTAGGTCAATGTATTAGTTTAGTCGTCACTAGTGAGTTTTTCACTTTTAACCAAACAAAGAAGTTAAGTGATCCTTGATTAGTTCTTCATGCTAGCTACAACTTTAGTAGAGGAAAACGAGCCAAAATCCGCACGTCAACAAAAGTTACTGAGTTTGGTAGAAACCACTTGCAAAATATTTGTATGATTAGTAAACTATACATAGTATGGTTCCGGGCTAGTGAAACACCTCCCAATCGCGAAGCGTCTATTTACCATGCATACGCACACATCTGATTGATATTAGATCAGAAAATTATTTATGGCGGATGAATCAACGTGTTTAATTTGACACGTCTAGTTCAAATGATTGAACTTAAATGTCATATATATTTAATGCACATTTTTTTCTAATTAAAAAAAAAAACTTTTCTTGGTTCTTGCGGGTTCATTTAAATAACTTATTATTTTGCTAATATCGTAATTTCTGTAGACATACACAAATCCTTGACTTTTCTTTTTGGACTCTTCAAGCCTCACTCGTAATGTCGTACTAACAAATCAAATCTTGAAAATACCAAGAGTTAAACCGCCAAGATGTGCTATCTCTTGAGGATCTCCTAATATCGCAAGTTTTTTGTGTGTTTTTTTTTTTTTTTTTGGTCAACGTTTTTTGTGTTTCAAGTTTCCAATGGATACCAATATATCAAATTGCTCTTATTGTCAATGATTCACATATTATATACATAACATAATAATACATATAAGAGTATACATATAGAATAGAGCATGTGACCTTTTCCAATCTGTGTATACCAATGAACCAAGTATCATCCTTGTGCCCAAGGCACGTTTCCTATATATGTGCGGTCACTTCACTTCTTTTATCTCTTCAGTTTTCAAGTTCATACCGGATTTGCCAAATCGATCGAAGACTAATTACGGCCTAGAATCTCTATATATATGCCACTTGCAAAAATAATCTATCAGATGCTTTGTTGCACTAGAAATATAATATGAACGTGAACAGTACTGTTTTATATTAAACAAAAAATGGATAGGAAACCCTAGTTTTCACTCACACGGTGACACAATTTTACTCTTGTACTAATTGAACATGTATCATGAGCTACATCTTCCTAACAATTTTTCTCTTGGTGGTGGTGGTGACTTGATTTATTATCTGTTTATTGAACGATGTGACAAGAAACGCACAATTGGGAGATTCCATTTATACAAGAAACGCTATATATTTTCCATTTCTAAGGACATGGTAATGATATCTTGACCTCAAGTGTCTTAAATGGATATTTAGATTGATTATATCAAATCGTTTCTTCATTCAAAATCAAATCGTGGGTTAAGCCGACAAAATATATACACTATGTACTTGACAACGAAATCATGGATTATTAATTAGGAAACAAAAAAGATAGTTGAAACAACTAAACTTATTTATTAGAAATTTATGCTAAGAAAATGCTTTGAATTGTTCATTTGGTTCTCCTTCTTCCAAGTTTCTTCATTCTAGTCCTCAGTATGCTCACACAAGTCACACCATATATGATATAAACAAAAAATTATATATCAAAAATGAGAATGTGTAGTCTCTATTAAGGAACAATCCATTTTTCAATCTATCTTAATTTTCGAACGAAAATTATATTATTAGTAGTTTTCTGCGCCGGAGAAGTATGCAGTCGAATCAGAAAATAATTCGTGTTCATATTTCTATTAAGGATGATTTTTAAAATATATATATATATATATATATATATATTCTGAGAAGATGAGTGATGACCAGTTGAGCCACCATGCAAATACACTTAATTGACACATAAATATTAAAAGTGGTAGAGCCTACATGCGAGATTCTTTGGGTTACATCAAATTATCATTGCGAACGATTGGACTGGTTTATCAATTTAGATTTCCGACAACTCATTTTCCTTCAACAACATTTATAGAAAAATATTTAACATACCAATTTAAAAAAAATTAATGAAGAAAAAATATAGTTGCAAAGTCAACAATTTTTTTTGTTTTTATTTTTTTTTGAAATTAAAGATTGATAAAGGTAATGATGCTTTTCTTACGTTTTTTGATGTGAAGAATATACGGTATAACAAACACATCTTTCGTTACAAAGCAAGCCGTGTAAAATCTTTCAAAAAAGCTTTGCCATGCATGTTTTACGATCCAACCCGGTCGTTGTTTCGTTACCTCCAGAAATATACTACATAGTTTCTTATTATTAATTAATAGTTACTTGTGACGACATATATCATATATTATTGTTACTAAAAACTTATAATACAGTTCTAAAAGAAAGAAAGAAAGAAAGAAAAGAAAAAAGAACATCACATTATCAATGGAGGCCCAGTTGAGAAGTCGCGAGATCGATCCGGATGGCCTACTGCGTTTGACTCTCTAGAGTTGTCAATTGAAAATAAATATTATCAAGTGGTCCTTTTAAAATAATTGAAGTAATTAATTGCTTGATACCACTTTGCTAAACAAATTATCATTAAAAAATCTGGGGCAATTAGAACTATTTTATAAAGATATCAAACTTATCAGATTTTGGAATTTGTAAGTATTAAGAATCATGATATAGCCTTGTTCATTCAAACAAGTTTAGTCGTGGACGAAAATAAAAGTCATTCATGATCGAAAAGTATGTGAAAACTCGTTCTAAACGAATAATTAGTTGATCAAATAAACTTAATATGGTAGTTGATATATATAGTTGTGTAGATCGATGTTCTTACAGAAAATTCCAGTGGATTAAAACTAAAAACGTTTGTGGTGCAAATAATCATCCGGAAATTTGACTACTTTTGTAATTTTTTGATTAGAAAAGTTCAGTTGTCTGTATAAACTTTAGTAATAAATGAACTCATCTATTTGACAAAAATAAAATAAAGAATAAACTAGTTGATAAGATAAGATACACTAATTAAGTCACTAGCTAACTCATGATAAATTGAGTTTAGGTGAGCGGATATGGTCATTTTGAGACCCTTATTTGGAAGCATAGTATAATTTACACAACGTACTAACGTAGTGTGTGTGACGTACGTAGCTCTCTATACGTAAGAGGATTAGGAATAAAGCGAGAGAAGAGAACCCACAACAACAAAAAATCTAAAGTCATAAAGTAAAATAATACTGAATATGATATGTGGACTAATAGTAATCAGGGAAGTGCCTTCCTAGCTATAGCTTCCTATGGTTAGTTAAATCATTACTTTCTTGAATTATCCACGTTTTTTTTTTTTTTTTGTAAAACTTGGAATAGTAAACAAAGTAAAGCGGCTAGAAAAAAAAAAAAACGTCGGTAAATCCCTTAGGCATGTTTCATTAAAGGCAGTGAATGGATCGCTCGATGTAAGCGCACCAAAGCAGCGTGATTGTTCAAACCTCTTTATGTTTTATGACCGGAAGATTCTATTCTGGACAAGAACTCAAATTAGTTTTTGAAGTCTAGCTGTAAATGAGATGTTGATGGTGCTAAATAATTTGAAAAACGAGTTGAACAAAGGCTTATGAAGTGCAGAAGTGGAATTAATATTGATTACATTAATGTTTTGGCTTGAATAATATATTGAATACAATTGGAGTTGGAGCAGAGCCAGAACATGTTGATCGATCGTATCTCTTATAACCTTCACTTTAGTGTAGTTGAAAAAAACACATTTGTTTTGGATAAAATGCAAACAAAGCAACGACATTTATGACAATATAATCTGTAATGCTTTGAGTTATCCATTACCAATAGTAGATTTACACTTCTTTTTGTTACTGTATTTACTATTTGGTCGGTGCATCCTAACTTTATCCAAAAGGTTAAAAAACCGAAGTTATCTTTTGTTAAAGATATAAATAGCAAAAAGTTAAAATGCATATAAATTTGATATTTATAGTGAACACTATTTTGTATAATTCGAACTATTACACATGCATATTTAGCAAAAGACACAGACGCAAAAATGTAAACTGTTTACAACATTAGTGTATGGTTTCGTGTTTGTAAACTTTGTATATAGCGTAAACTATGGAAATAATATAAAGAACTAATTATCTCAGTGAACTAAAAAATATAATTATGTAACTGTAGCTGCAGCTGTAAACTGTCTTCGTAGTTTATTGGAATTGACAGTGCGTACGTATAGATGAGAAAGGAAAGTAAAAGTCGTCGTGTTTCTTTATCTTGGTCCCCAAGCTTCTCTTGCTTCCATATATAACTTCTCTTATTCTATTACCGCATATTCTCTTTATACTAATAGCTTACGTACTAATTAACGCAAACATAATGTTTTTATATTACTGGTTCTTATCCAGCTAGCGAAGCTGATTAGTTTTCTGATTAAGAGAAGGAATATTTATAAAAATAAATAAAAACAGTACAACATAGAAGAAAGTGAAAAACATGAGAAACAAATTAAGGACGGTGTCCAGACAAGCAAAATATTCAAACCTTTGAAAATGAAACAACATCATGTTCTCCAAGACAGCCCCAACTTAATTTATTCTAATAATACCAAATTCATTAATCCCCATTCTCGTATCTTGTCCACCATATATACACTTTACCCATATCGTATATTTTTCTTTCCTAAGGTTTTTGCATTTAAATTCTACTCACATATAGTTTATAAATTGTGATCATTTGGAAAATAAAACATAATGATCTTAAAAGATTATTTTTTATAGGAATTAATTAGTAAATTATCCACTTTAATTTCTAACTTATCTTACGTATTCTCATTTAGACGTTGCAAAAGAATGAGGTGAATATACAAATGATGATTACTCATTAAATAATAATTATTATAGTAATGGTGCGTAATTAAAAATGTCGACGGGCGGCAAACAATATTATTTTCTTTCAAATATTTTTATTTTATATATTTTTTTAATCATCAACATGGTATACTAAAATGCAAAATGTAAACAAATTGCACTCGATATGCATATGCATATCGGCGGACGTCTATATAAATGTTAAGAATTGTGTCTCTCATCACAACACGTATTTTGATAGCCTTCACTTCCCATAATTTTTTCTAATAACTCTCGCTACTATTCTTCTTCTTCTTCTTCTTCTTCTTCTTCTTCTTCTTCTTCTTCTTCTTCTTCTTCTTCATCGTTCTCTTTGCTTGGTGATATTCTCATGGATCCCCCATTCAACGAAATATACAACACCCTTTTGTATAATCAGATTACAAACACAGAACAAAATATTCCCGATATACCCATTAGCTTCTCCGTCACGGCTGTCGTCGAAGAGGTGGAGCTTCCGGTCATTGACGTTAGCCGTCTGATCTATGGAGCCGAGAAGGAGAGAGAGAAATGTAAGGAAGATATCGCGAGAGCTTCTAGGGAGTGGGGATTTTTTCAAGTGATAAACCATGGAATATCAATGGATGTGTTAGAGAAGATGAGAAAAGAGCAAATTAGGGTTTTTAGAGAACCTTTTGGCAAGAAAAGTAAGTCGGATAAGTTCTCCGCCGGGAGTTACCGGTGGGGAACGCCGTCAGCCACTTGTCTCCGGCAGCTTTCTTGGTCGGAAGCTTTTCATGTTCCCATGACAGATATTTCTGACAACAAGGACCTCACTACTCTCAGGTACACAAATATTGTTATCAATTGTATTAAACTTTTACTTTGAGTTAATATAATTATTAAGTACAGTATATAGATTATTTGAAAATATATCATGTGGAGAAGAATCCCAATAACAAGATGGAAATTAAAATACAACTTATAACTTTATATGCTGTAAGTTATATTTCAGTTAGTTTAATAACTAGCTAGTGTTTTGAGGATTAATGATGAATTATATTGATAATCTTAATTAATGTCAAGTGTTTGACTATAAGTAACACAATTTGCAGAGAAAAATTAGTAGATTAGTCAAGATTAAGAACATGGGAGACAAACGCAGTTTTTTTAGTTTAGAATATGGTGGTTTTTAATTGAAGCATATAATAGAGTGTTGTCATCTGTATAACTATATTTAATTAAAAAGTTTGGATACTTTTGAATAAATAAATTTTTATATCATAGAGAAAATAAAGTTGTTGGCCATTGGGTCAAAGATTTATTCTCCATCTCTCATGCGTTTCTATGTTTTCCAAATTTTTATACTATTTTTGAATAAGTCTAATTTTTAGATAGCAAGTTGGCATGTGAAAATACAATGAATAATTAAATGCTATTAATTCCAAAAAAAAAATTAATTATTATGTTTTTGGACAATATATAAGATATAATATATGAATATAATTATACTATATATAACATATATATACTATATTATATATATATATATATATATATATTATATATATATATATATATATATATATATATATATATATATATTCGTAGGAATTCGTCAACTTCAAATTCTTTAACATGCTAAAAAATCGAATTATAAGATTATTCGGCGGGGAATAATTTTATAAGACACTAAACCTTTTATTCAGATATCTATTTTTTTTTTTCTTACCTACAAACTGTTGTCAATAAAAAAATGGGATTCAGACCAACTGATTTTGGTCGGTTTTTGTCGGGAGAAATAATCGAAAACCATTAACCAACTCATCATGGTTCCAAACAGAAAAGAAAAGAATCGTCAACCAACTCATTAGGAGATATTAGTTGCTGTTAAAATAACACACAAACATTACAATTCAAAAATTTCAAACTTTTAACATTATACATAGTGTCTGTACGCCCTGTGCCCATTATAATTTACAAAATATATAGTCAAAAACTATAGAAACGTTAGCTAGCTAGGTACGATATATCTAGAAACACATAGTACACACTTGTGTATAATATAATATTACAGTACTATGTATATGGTGAGAAAAGAAAGGAAGAGTCACGAGAAAACTGTCGTCTGTTTAGCAAAGAGGGATAATGGAAGGGTAGGGAAGAAGAAGTACTTGAACATGCCAGGCTAGCTAGCTGGCTATATCACGTATATAAATTATCTTGTGATCGGTGTCACGGTGTGTGTACTAATGTGTGCTGGAAGCTGTACACATTCTTACATATGTATATGTATTTGCAATTTGCATGCATGTGGTTGTCTTACACATCTTATGCATTGATTCATCAGCTTGTGTGTGTGTGTGAGAGAGAGAGAGAGTTTGAGTATGTGTGTGACCACATACCGTTGCTACTTTTCGTAGATGGCGTCTCTTGATAAGTCACTATTAGTGGCAATTTGGCAATAAAATCAGAAAAATTATTAATTATAATAACACCCCAAGTGATCAATATATATACATATATATGTGTGTGTATTTATACATACAATATCTACATTTAAGAAAACACATGGGGAAAGTTCAAACTATATTCCATAAGAAAATACATTTTTAGATCACAATTTTATTATCTCTATGATTTTACAGTGATCAATAAAACCTATAGAAATAATTGGTTTATAACCTTTCATGTGGCCTAGTCATCCAAAACTTTCTCGACCGAGCTAGTCCCACCGGATAAAATGAAATAGAGTTCCATCATTCAAATTTCAAATGATCAAAGATGATACAAAGTTATAAACATTAGATACATAAACGTAGAGGGTAGCCAAAAAGAGAAATAATATAGAAGACTCAAAATTGGAAAAATGGTCCCATGTTCCTAACAGGTAGGAGATATCTCTATCATAGAGAAGCAAATGGATCGGACACGTACACGTACCTCTCCTCTCAACCTGGTGCAAAACCCGTTATTTTATTTCTTCTCTCTTCTCGTCTTGTTTGAGTCTCTTGGGACCCTTGTCCATTCACATATGAACTCTACCCCGTTTTCTTCTTCCACCAGAAGATTTTTATTATTATTCTATGAGTTGATGATTTTATATATTCGTTTGTGTCATGTAACATGCACCTTGAACGTTACATCCTTTACGCGAAATTTTTTGAACGATAGCTAAGACATATCAGTTGTGGAATCAGAAAATTTTCACCAAATTAATCCACATAATCATGTGAAATTACTTTACATTATGCCATATTCCGCCATTATTTAATGATGTATTTTCGTGTGGATCATTCATGTCATAATCTTAATTTACATTTGGTATTACAGCTCAATAATGGAGAAATTTGCTTCGGCATCGGAGGCGCTAGCATATCTATTGGCAGAGGTTCTTGCAGAGAAATCAGGACGAAAATCAAATTACTTCAAAGAAAACTGTGTGAGAAATACATGTTATCTAAGGATGAACCGTTACCCGCCTTGTCCAAAACCATCAGAGGTGTACGGGTTAATGCCACACACGGACAGTGATTTCGTCACAATCTTGTATCAAGATCAAGTCGGTGGACTCCAACTCATCAAAGACAATAGATGGATCGCCGTTAAACCGAACCCTAGAGCTCTCATTATCAATATTGGTGACTTATTTCAGGTAAACTAAGACTAGCTAGGTAGGAGTTACTTCGAGCTTACAGCTTAGTTTCAATTTGCTTCCAATTCTTATTGTGTATATATGAATTGTTAGGCATGGAGCAATGGCATGTACAAAAGTGTGGAACACCGTGTGATGACAAATCCAAAGGTGGAGAGATTCTCAACGGCGTATTTTCTATGTCCATCATACGACGCCGTTATTGAGTGTTCGAGTGATTACCCTACTTACAGAAACTTTAGCTTTCGAGAATTCAGACAACAAGTTCAAGAGGATGTCAAAAAGCTTGGTTTTAAAGTTGGTCTTCCTAGGTTCCTTAATCATCTCTATTAATATATACCCGTTTCTTTTTAAAATTGATTTTAGGTTTTATGGTTTATTTTAAATTTTGTTGTTTCATATTTTTTTTTGGAAAATATGTTATTTCTGATTATCAAATTCAGTCAAAATCGTTTAGAAAACCAATTTTAAAACTAAACCAGAGCTTAATTCGGTTGAGTAAGTCTGAATACTAATTTTAAAATTATATATACCAAATCTATACAATTTAAAAACTAAACCGATAACTAATTTAAAGTGGTTGGATTAACCAATTTAAGTTTCGTCCAAAACATAAGAAAAACAAAAATCCTACGAAAACTATTTATTACCAAATTTCTAATAATTTAAGAAGATATTATGAAGCGAAGGGCCACGATAAATTAGAGAAAAAAAAAAAAGAAAAAAAGGGAAAAAAAAGAAATGGCTCTTCTCGCGGCGATGCAGTTGCAGGGACGTCCACCACCGATCTCATCCAACCTTAACTCAAACTCCAAACCTGCAGGTTCGGATTCCGTCTCCTTAAACGCCTCCAAATCTGGCTCCGAACGGAAGCTTAGAAAATTCAGCTCCCAGCTCAATCGCTGGAACAGAGCACGAACCTTAAGATCCGGCGCGAAGGTGGACCGTACGACTAATAATGTTTCAAACAGCACGACCGGTCCGATGCGTCCGATCGAAAGTTCGAATCGCTCTGATGTTTCGACACTGGACAGTGACGTATCATCATCAACTAATGGAGATAACGAGACGGATATGGAGGCGGCGAAATCGATTTACATAGTCTCTGACGGAACTGGATGGACGGCGGAACACGCCGTTAACGCTGCTCTGGGTCAGTTCGATTACTGCTTGGTCGACCGTGGCTGTCCCGTTAACACACATCTTTACTCAGGGGTATGCTCGACTTTCTACCTCACTTGTCTGAATATTTCAATTTTCAGTTAAACCAAACAGAAATCCATCCGGTTAATGGATTTATTAATTCCCTCAATTTTAAAAAACCGAACTTTAAACCGATCGGATCAAATGATAGTTATCTCCTAATTCTAGCTGAAGGTGTTTGGTATTTCAATGTTACTTGCATGAATCGATTCAATTTTTTACTTAACCGAACCTCAACCCATTCGGTTTTCTATAAACCGAAATTGAATCTATGGCTGATGAATATTTGTTTGTTGTGATGGTGAAGATTGAAGATGGAGAGAAGTTAATGGAGATAATAAAGCAAGCAGGAAGAGAAGGAGCAATGGTAATCTACACTTTAGCTGATCCATCCATGGCAGAAGCAGCAATGAGAGCTTGTAAGCTATACTGTATTCCATCACTAGACATCCTCGGACCAATCACAGACTCAATCTCATCTCACTTGGGCACTAATCCTTCCGGTGTCCCACGTGGCGTCACACACTCAACTCTCAACGAAGACTACTTCAAAAGAATCGAAGCTATCGAATTCACCATCAAACACGACGACGGTGCCTTGCCTGAGAATCTTGAAAAAGCAGACATTGTTCTTGTAGGCGTCTCAAGGACAGGGAAGACACCGCTCTCTTCTTACTTAGCTCAAAAGGGTTACAAAGTGTCTAATGTACCGATCGTGAACGGTGTAGAACTTCCCAAGACTCTGTTTGAGATCGACCCGAGAAAGGTTTTTGGTCTGATGATTAATCCGGTCGTCTTGCAAGGGATAAGAGAGGCTAGAGCCAAAAGTCTTGGACTTGGTTCGAGTTTTAAGACAAAGTATTCTGAGTTAGGTTCTGTTAAAGAAGAGCTTGAGCTTGCTAAGAGAATCTTTGCAGAGAATCCTACATGGCCAGTGATTGGTAAGTCTATATATGATGAAAATTTTTAACACATTTTCATTACAAAAATGTTTTAAAATTTTGATGAGTTGTTTTTGTTTTGCAGAAGTGACAGAGAGTGCGATAGAAGAAACTGCGGCAGTAGTTTTGAGGCTTTACGACGAGAGACAAAGCAATCGAGCAATGCCTCGCATCTCTAAAAGCTACTGAAGAATATTTTATTGGGTGAGGCATATAATTATAGAGAAATATAATTCGATATAACTCTTTGGTAAAGCCCATTTAGTACCTTTTTACATGATCATAACATTGTGCCAAAGCTAAAGTCCATACAAACTTTTAAATACATATAAGGATCACACTCTTAGTCCATACAAAACTGTATATATGATTATGCTAGCCCAACTTACTAGTGTGATCCGATAATCAAAAGTTTGGTTCACTAAGAGTGTTTGACCAAAGTTCACAAACGAGCGAAAGCCTAATCTACTCTCAACTTCGAGAGGCATGATTTGTTCCAACTAAGCTAGTGTATCCTTTTTTGGACGTGCAGAAGATTTAAAAAATATGTCTCTATGTATCATAGATTCATTAAAAATTGGCGTAATTTTTCTAATGTATATATGCTTTGCCTATTTTTGGACGGAGCATGCCTTTTGGAATTTGCATTAAAGCTCCACCAAATTTAGAGATTGCACACTGGCAACGTTTTATACAATTCAAATTGGAAAGAGGACAGTGACATGAATCATGCCGCATGATGTACGTACGTCAAGATTTGCAAACACAACTTATTTGATCATGACCTCGTTTCTCTCTTTTGAAATTAGTTTCCTTTACCAAACCACTAATTCGTTATTGGAGACGGTCTCTATTCTCTACAATAAGTAAAGGCTTGTTCAATGGATCTTTTCTATTGTTTGGGCAGTCTTAAGAATTTTTCCTTTCTATCTTTAGTGCGGAGGAGACTTTAGAACTCAGAATATATATAGTCTTAGGGTTCTCATTGGCCGCTTCTTGATATGACGCACTGAAGTATATGAATGTTAATGATATGAAAGTAGAAACAAATAAATTAGTTTGAGGAGTCTGGTTAGTCAAGACAATAATGTAGGTGTAGGTGCATGGTTTGACCCATGATACGATCAAAGACTTCGTAGTTAAAACAACTGGAAAAAAAAAAACAAATCAAGAGAAAATAACAAAGCGACTAAAATGTACAACTACATAAAACTCTGATTTATATGTACCACCTATATTTATATTGTGATCAACAACTGCAATTAATTATATATTTCCCTAAACGCATACACCATTTCATACTCTAAAACCTACACCACATGCTTTTATAGGAGTTTTGGACTTGTTTGGCAATATTTCAACATCAAACTTTTTGAACCATGTGTCAACAACTTTGGTTGATAGCAGCAAAATTCGAAACGAGTTATGTAATTTATATTGGCATGGCACGTATAACATATTATGCAATTTAGCCGATGATAGTGGGGATGATAGTACTTTATGAACCAAATACTTGAAGAGACCTAAATATGGTAATAGCTTAGGTGAAATAGCATGTGGTTACATTTATTCCTCCACGCTTGTATAGGTTCTATTTCTTAAGATGGTCCATATTGTTACCCAAGTTTGATTTTTTTCGTCTATAAAAAATGGAGCAATAACTAATATATAGCAAATCTTTAAGTACCGGCATTGGAAAAATTTGATATAAGATTATAAATCCAGTTGTTTATGAACGAGTCTCAAAATGGTGGGGGATGTTATGGAATTATTATCAATCTTTGTATTCTATCAAAATGAATCAAAACATAATAGACGTACGTACATAAATGAAAAGAAAAAAAAATTGAAGAATTATTGGAAAAGAAATGTCATATATCATATATGACATTAACGAATTGTAAACTCAACATTATTCGACTTTAACAAGATCATCAAGACTCAAAATCTTTTAATTCTCTATATATTTGGGAAAAAAGTTGACCAAAAACTAAAATCACTCACGACAAATGATATATACACAAAGAAATCAAAACACAAAATAGATAAAAAAATATAAGAGAAGAAACGATTCTGTGTCTTTGTCACAATAGTCACAAACTCTTGTCTTAAGCTTTTCTTTACCAATCTCTCTCTCCCATATGATCTCGTGCGCGCGCCACTTCCCCCACTTTCTCTCTCTTATTGTTTTTTTTTGGTCATATCTTAAAAAAATCATACAAAATACTAAAAACTATTATCAACACAACCTTACCCTCTTCATTTTTTTTTGTTTTTTGTAATGTTCTGTGTTCTGTCTGATACATCTCCTCAAATGTAGGTCGGTGAGATTGTGGCATGTTCTATAGCCACAAACTTAGGTCGGTCGATAATATATGCATATATATCATGCGTATATTTACTATTTAGTCTAGAGACATATCTCCGGAATTAGACTTGCTGATCGAGAGTGTGAATATGATTAACAAGATTGATCCCATGCTTGACCTGTCACACATAATAAATTATAACATTACCCATCAATATATTACGTGAAAAACAACTTTTACGTATTAAATTGGTGATAGATAATTCTGATTTTCAGTAGCCTGTCGTGCACGACTATGACAATTTAATATATTGATGATACGTATTAAAACTACTAACTCAAAAAATTTCAGTTTAATATTAAAATGATAAGATCGTAATGATGATGTAAGAACACCATTACTGACTCAAAGAAATAAATTAGTTGATCTATATATGCAATCCTAAGAAAACGAAATTAACAAGAGATATAATAATTACTATAAAGATGGGATTTTCAAGTTTATAGATCTATGCATAAGTTAATATATATTTTGGGTTTAATTGCATAGATAAATCATGGTAAGATTAAAGGATACTTACAAAGTTGCAAAGAAGAGGACGATTTTCTTCGGATCAAGCATCCAAGAAGTGTTAGAGCGTTTAAAACTCGACGACTTCCTCGAGAAACCGAACCTTCTTTCCCTATTTTGGTCGGTGATCATATTTCCGGCGGCCGCTGCAGCCGTAGTTATGGTAATTTGATGAAGCGGCGAGACTGAAACAGCAGAAGTGGCTGCGGTCGTGGCCGTGCCTGCATGATCTGTGGACCCCACGGTGTTCGGCTTTTCCGGCGTGCTTGAACCTATACAAGTCATATTTCATCAAATTCCATATATTTATATATACCACAAAGCTTTAATTTAAAAACAAAGAATAATGATTACATTCTTTTGGAAAGACAAACAAAATTGAATCATAACGTAGTCATTAGTCATTGTTTGCCAAATTTAATAATAGTATGAGTGCATGCGTTGCACCGGTGCAGGAGAATCAAAAGTTGGAATACTGGTTTTTGTTTGTACTGGTATACATATATAAAGCTATGTAGCTAATGTTTCTATCATTCAAAATACAAGTCAAGAAAGAGATATACACTTGAGAGATTTTTTTTTCTCCTAGTAGTTGAACTTGTAAATATGCTCTTATAAAAGTGTCGACGTGCATTACATTGCAAGCATGACGTGAAAAGTTAGTTAGTAAAAAGTTGGAAATTTTTACACATTTTATAAAGCAAAATTGTGAAGTTTCGATTTTCAAAAATATATAAACCTATGTGTAAACCTTAACTAAAAAGTTAAGGTTTACAGCTAAAAACGCATGGGTTGGTCAGATAAACTAAATCCTACCTAACACTGTCTAATGTATACATTTTCAAAGAAGAAATTAATCACTGGTATTAAAATAATAATATTCAACTTAATTTACTTAGATTAGGCAAACCAAACCTTTTAGCATTTGAAGATTAAAAAAATCCCCAAAAACAACAATTCATGAAGAGATAAAACATATCGTCCCACGAGAATATCTAACCTCAAAAATATCAGTTCGAAACGCTTTATAAATTAAAAAAATATATATTTTTGTTGAGTTTAAGAGTTTTATTTTTATTAGTCAAGAAGAGTCGCACGCAGATAAGCCCAAACCGAATTTAATTCAAGAATCTGCTAGGGCCAATTATGAAATAGTATTATTATATGGAACCAGAAAAATAAGCAAAGAAACAAAATGTACACTCATGGGCTCTAGAAAAAGAAATTTGTATTTGTCCATATAATATATATACGTGAAAATTAAAGTACTTTAATATAATGTACTCATATATCGTAATTTAAAAGAGAGAGTACTGTATTAAAGAAGATGATATATAGCAAAGAATATGACATGTATTAAATTTAGAGATATAGAAGAAAATGATAGTATAAAAATTTTAGTTACCTCTAAGTGGGGACTGAGGTAATGAGAGCTCCTTGTCATTACCATTTGCGTCACATTGGAGTTTCCTCTCGTTGTTGTTGTTGTTGCTTCTTGGAGACCCTTTCCTCGATACATTTCTCTGCAACTTTTATTATTGTTCATTTTAATTTTTCAGTTTTTGTAATATCAATATCATTATAAGAAAATTATCAATAATTGAGTTTTTTATTTTCACTAGAAACAGTCCAAAAGAGAAATTAAAATATCTAAAAGAAGCTTCGTGCCAAATGACAAATACCAGAAAGGAAACAGAGAAATCCGTGAGAGATGATTGATAATACTTCTCTCAAGTCTGAATGCAGTGAAAACACATTTTTTTACAAAATAAAATAAACTGACACATAATAAAAGTCAACTTTTAATTAGGGTTTTTTATATTGTTTTTTATACTTCAGAAAAAAAAGAAACAAAGAATTAAATGAGACGAAAAACAAAACTGGGCTGGAAATTGAATCGACGACGACTTTAGAGTTATGGGCGATTCTTCCATTATTCTCACCAAAATTCATAAATACACCATAAAGACAAAACAAAAGAAAAAAAAAACAAAACAGAGAAGAAAATAGAAATAACAAGTGTTTCTGAATTTTCTGATAATTAAAGAAAAAAAAAATGTTAAGAATTATAAAAAACTTACAGTAATTCTAGGACTAGAAGAAGAGAAGTCTTTGTGCATGACATGAGAGAAACTCTCCACATCGATTGTTACAAACCCATCCGGGTTAACGGTGTTCTGAAACCCGGATCCGGTTTCTTGACCCGTAACTGCTCCACCAGTTTCCATCCTTCTTTGATCGGAACAAAACTAAAGAAGATAAACAGACAGAGAGAGAGAGAGATGATGATGATCATCATCGATCATGTTCAAGAAGAAACATAAGCCAATAAAGATTGAAAATATATGTTGGTCATTCAACTAGAGGAGGAAGCAATATAAAGAAACTTACTTTGGAAATTGAAACAGAGGAGGAGATTAAGACAAGAGAGCTAGTGGGAACGTCTCTGTTGTGTTCTCTGTTTGAAGAAGAAGAAAGGTGTTATTAAGGTTTTTCTCTTTGGTTGGGTTGGAGACAAAAAGGGAAGAGAGATTCTGAGGAATGTCGAAACTGAAAGAGAGGAGATGAAGCTTTTTTATTACTTCTTTTTATTTATGAATGTGACGATTTTTTTCTAAATGGGTTGGTGCCCTTTTTTAAATATTTTATTACACAACAAAGATGGTCACAACTCACAAACGCACACGCACGAGAGAGAGATAAGAAGATAGACTAATGAGTGATTACTTATGCATAATCATGATTCCAATGTCTTGTTTAAGATTAGTTTCATCTCTTTGATTAGTGGAATGGAAGATGGAAGAATAATACGTTATTTAATTATTGTTTTTTTTTTTTTTTAATTTAATTATTGTTTATCATTTATAAATTATAACCCCTTAAGATTTAAAGTTGGTTTTTATTACGAGTCTCATTGTTTTGTTTTTGCGTCTTATGGTGTTGTGACTGTTGTCTTTGCTCTCTACGATTGTTTGATAAAAATGGTTTCATATTATGATTAAAGATTCTTTTTTTTTTTTAGTGTTGTACTCGAAATGTAAATTTAGCTATATTAACAAAAATATGTAGAAGAATATTCATTTAATCAAAAATGAATTACAGTTTTCTATGAAAAAAAAATATATTACATTTCATAAGAAAATTCGGTCATAGTTCTCATATGTGCTGTGGGCTGAATTATCCATGTATAGATAGAATTTTGTTTGTTTTCTACGAACACAATTATTAATTTAGAATCTAATCAGTGTTAGGATTTCTCAATATAATAATATGACATCAGGATTATTTGGTTTTTGATTAAAAAAAATCGAAGTTGGTTATATTAATTTGAGGAATATGCGATGAATAATCATGAAGGGTGGTGAGCAACTAACTTCCCTATTTTGATGACCTGCTTGCTTCTGAAGGCACTCTTTCTTTTTTTTCATTTTGACTCCAAAGCTTTCTTCCACTTTTTAATATTTCCATGTTGTAATTTTGTAAATTGTCATATATATCATTGATGGGTTTCATTATGAAAAAACTTAAAATTAATACTAAGTCAATCACAAATATTTTATTTCAAGTGTAGACAATAGATTTTTGAGATAATAGCCACTAACATTTTGTATGGAACTATTTATAATGATGTTTGGAACTGGAGTATCATTTTATTTAGATTTCATAATTTAAGCTTTAAATAAGTGAAAATAGTAGTATCAAGTTGGTAATTAACAACAATTAAGTTATTAACAAGTTCAATGTAGGCAACATAATTAACAACAACAGAAATAATTTGTGGTCAACGCTAACAAAGTTAAGTTACATCAATTCATATAATGTAAAATTGTGCTAAGTGCTAAGTCATATAAATTTATGTCAAAACCCCACTTAATTTCACATCAATTTGAGAACGAAACTATTTGCAATTTTCGAAAGTGCTATACGTAGATATTAATTCGGAAATGAAAAAATAGACTATATACCTAATTGCTATTTAAACTATACATATAGCTTAGCTACCAGCACATCATCAACAATAATTGCAAACAAACAAGTCATTTTAAGATGTTGTCCAATATCATAATCCGTTTGCAGTTTAACAAGTTTCGTTTTTTCTAAAAAAGGAAATAATTTTGTTTTCCCGAACAGGAAATCCCAAAACAATTGATCAGTCTGTAAATTTTTTTACTCTTTTTTTTTTTTAACTGATTTTTACCCTTTGACCATATTTACCAAAAACCAACTGAGAAAAAGAGTCACCGAAGACTGTAAAGATGTTATCTTTGCATATAAAAGATAGAAATTTACCATTCTTAAAGATATTTTCTTTCGTTAGGTTTTTGGGGTCTTATGGGTCGAACAAAAATGAGAGACATAGGCGACAGGGAGAGGTCTCGACCTGTATATGCCAAAATTTTGTTTTAAAAAATCACAAATAATGAAATATGTTATCGAGTGTTGATGAGAATTGAAGAATAATAATATCAAATAACTAAAAATATATATATTATCTAGAAGGTGTTTGTATTGTACGTTTAGATATTTTCCAAAGGACTTGTGCTGGCTTAAACATATCATCTCTTCGTATAATTTATACACTTCCTAAGTTTGCAAGGTTGTCCAAGAAAAGAACAGATCGACTCTATGTGGCTTGGGATTTGGTATGTCGATCAGATTCATTGGTTTGAGACTTAAGTTTAAAATTACTAGTCTAATGACAGTACTATACGATCATAGTTATGATTTTTAGTATTTGATGCTCATATTAAACCAATAACAATCTTAGTATGTGATGCTCACATTTTACATTTTCGTAGAAACAATAAAAATAACATTGATAGTTATGATTCTTGTCTTATTATGTCAAAAAATCTAGGATGCATTCTGATCCAGTCAAGCTTTGTACGTACCAAGCTTTAATCAAAGTTAAGATCAGACCTGACAGTAACCTTACACCGTAAATCCAATAATTGATACGAAAATACAAAAATATGTATAGGGATGTTCCCATATCCTTGAAAACATTAGTTTAACGTCAAAATTGGTTTGAACTTTTATATCCATTTCTTTCGGTTTATACGATATGTTCGGTTCGATTTGCAAAAACTAAACATCTTTATGATGTACTAGAGCATATTAACGATTTGGACTGATTATCAGAAAACATAATACTAGTGGCTACCATAAAACCATGCAATAACATGGTGGACCGCAAAATACGAAAGAGATTAGAGAAAATATAAGAAAACCATTTGATTGATTAAAGGAGATGACTCATTACTAATGAATCGTAGCCAGAGAAGCTGTCTCACAAGAATACATTTGAAATTTTATGAATAATGAAGTCCCATACTAATAATACTACCAAATAAAATAATAAATATCCAAAGTTTTCCTATATCATATATGTGTATATATATAGATAGAGAGAGACAATTATATTGTGTATGGTCATAATAGTTCACATTTTGTTGTACTATTAACTTTGAAGTTTTAAACCAGTTACTTGGTCTTGACGTAAAAAACAAAACAAGTCCATCATCGAGATTCATTTTAAACAAAACTAATCTCTGTCTTTTCTTTTCACTGTCCTTTTTCCTTCTTACTTTGTTTTTGTTGATATGGCAAAAGAACTCTTCAGAATTGAGACCGTTGGTTTGAGTCCTCAAATCTCGGGTAAATTTTGTTTTGGATTTTCCTTCACAAAGTTCTATTGATGTGGCACGGGAAAGGAAACTCAAAATGCTTTATAACAGATATTATTGTTTAGTAGTTTGAGTTCTCCAAACATCATTGTTTAGTGATTTAGTCCGGTCAAAGAAAAAATTATTGTTTAGTTGAGCAGTACATCTAAGTTACTGGTTTGTGTTTCTGATCAATGTGTATCTTTACCACCACAAGACAAACATGAAGCAAAATTTAGTTTAGGAAAATCAAATGAAGTGACATTATACAAATACATTTGACTAGATCGATTTAGGTTCTTCTCTTGTTCGATATCTGAGCTCGAACAATCTGCTTTCTCCATTCGTGAATTGGAACCTGAAGTCGAAACAAGATTTCTATTAGTTTTCTTGGAAATCATGTTTTCAGCTCTGTTTTAGTTGGATATCGATAAATTCGGTTTATTGTTTTACTGATTCTTGATGAAATGTTGGAAAAAAATGATAAAAAGATTTAACTCAAGAGATTGCTTACAGCAGGAAAGCCTCCAAAATCCCCTGGCTCACTGATGTTTCTAGTAACACAACTATTAGCTGCGAGTCGAACCTAAACAGTGAACACAAAAAAAGTTTTTGTGAACCAAACTGTATCATGAAAACTGCCTTTTTGAATCCAGTTAAAGCCTATTATACCTTGGATACAATGGAGACATGGTCTCGAACAGCTGCTCGTCCTCCTAAAGCCACATAGTCACCAATTCTGCAGATTTGTTTATTGACTTTTTGAGTCTTGAAAAACTTCAAAAAATTGTTTCTATCAATGCAACCAAAAAGGGTTCAGATATGTACGTTACTGAACCAGCTATGCCTACTTGACCACAAAGCAAGCAACATTTTCCTATGATCACATTATGACCTATCTGCCAAAAAAGAAGAAAGAAAATAAGCATGATACTGTTTTATGATCAATTTTATAAAGGCCAAAAACAAAAAAGAGACCAAACCTGCACTAAGTTGTCTATCTTAGTGTCATCTTCGATTACTGTATCTCTCCAGCTGCATTATTTGTTGTTATACAGAGCTACTGAAACCGCGCATAGTGCACTGATGGAAGTTAGTCAATAGATGCGGAACTGTTACCTGCCTCGATCAATGCAAGTATTTGCTCCAATTTCTACACGATTCCCTATCTTCACGTTTAATGCCTAAAGAGGACAAAGAAAGAAAGAGATTAGAATGAGTTATGAACCAATAACTGTTGATTGATTCAGATTAAAGAATTGAAAATTGAGGATTATTACTTGAGGCTTCTTCACCATGTTTCCATGTTCATCAACATAAAAACCAAAGCCTGAAAGAATAATAAACGAGCAATTAAAAGACCTAATCCCAAACCAAAACATCTTCAATCCTATGATCTCAGATAATCTATTGGTTCATACCATCTTGACCTATGCAGACTCCATTGTGGATCACACATGAATCACCAATACTACAGTTGTTAATTGAAACATTATATCTGGATAGAACAAAAGAAACTCATCAAACATAAACTTTTAAAGATGCTGAATACAACATCGGTATATACGAGACGTGTACAAGAAAGTTACCCGATTCTTGTGGAAGGACCGATTTCAACTGATGGTCCAAGTACAGTGCCAGATCCTACATGAACCTCTGCACCTAAGACTGCTTTTTCATGAACTACAGCACCAACCTCAACCAAAGCCGAGGAATCAATAACAGCCGAGCGGTGACATGTCCCTCCTCCATTTCTCCATCTTAGAAACCCTTCACTGATAATACCACCATTTGTCGCTGATCCTTGATAACAATCAATGGCAAGTCTGACAGTTAGTTTCAACATCTAGATACAAGGATCCCAAAATTCTCTAAGATTATACCATCTTAGAGAGTAAGATGCATCAGTTTATTTATATTCAATCTTAGTAAAAGCTACAAGTTCATCAAAAATCATGGAAGGTCTTACTTATGTATCTTTATGCTTAGAACTTTTAGCTAAGCTTTGTCTCATCACGGTTCTGTAAATCTTAAAATTTTAACATATGAAGCAGCGCTATATTCTCATACATCAAGTGCAATATATGGCTTCTGGATTATGTCTATAGTCTATAGAGCAAACAGAGAAGACTGTCACTGATACAGATTAAAAAACTCATGCTCTCAGACGCATTTCCACAAACAGTTGGTGACCTTAATAAATTTATCGAACTGAGTGGCACCGAAACTCGAATTCAACCGATAAATCCTAAATTAAGCTTACCTGCATACGAAGAAACATCAGTAGACGCAGAGCCAAAGTGACTATCTGAGGAAAAAGATAAACTTTGAGAACTCGAAGGAAGAAGAAGCTGTTTCCGGATAAAGGGTCTGCTCAAAAAGATTCCTTGAAGAGAGTTACGTATAGAGTTGGATGAAAATTTCCGAAGAGTAGCTGCCGCCATAGTCACAGAAATGAAGAAGAAGAAGAATGTAAAGGAACAGAGTTGGTATTTAAATCCCGGAACTTTTTATTTCCCCAACTGAAAAAGTTCAAAACTTTTGTAAAATAAACATTTTTTTTTTGTCAAAGGGGTTTGTCCTACAAAAATGTCAAGTTAGGGTTTTAGTATTGAATTGTCTATTCTTCGTCCATTTATTGGATTAGAAACATTCTGTGATTGCTAGCACTTAACGCCCAGACATAGCTGTGAGAGAAACATCGTTTACAGAAATCGAAAAGATCACAAGAAGTCTTTCTGTTTCAGATTCTTTTATAGAGTTTAACAAGATTCCTGTGTTGCAGCTTGGTCATTAAAGAATACTTAAACTCTGCATTGCTCTGTCCTATAAAATACAAAGATCCACCAACAATACTTATACACGTACGAGTTTGCGCCAATGAATGAGTTAATAAGTGCTTCCGAATATTCATTCATCAACAAGCATTTGTACGCTTTTTAATTTTTTCCTTTTGCCGGTCTTATGGTAAAGTAGCCCGCAAGCTATTGACTTGGACACTGACATGTAGCTTTTAATAAAAAAAGGAAGACTTATTACAGAAGCACTTACTACATATATCATTGTCAAAATTAGATACATATCTTGGTAAATGAGTCTATGAGAGTGGTTGGAGTAAGTCGGATGACGTAATTCATAGGATTTGGAATCTTTCTCTATTGAAGTAACACGTAACACGTTAACGAAAAGAAAATATTACAATTACAAAATACACCTCCTCAAAAGATGATTAGTCTACTTATATATATATATATTTCCACGTGAGGGCTTTTCGTTTTGGTTCGTAGTTTGGCTTACTTTGCACGTACATTAGGCTTCCTAAAGAGTGGGTCGCCGCCTCCGATGGATAGACGAGGTGAAGAAGAAACAGAATATGGGGAGAGAAGAAGAAATCAACCTACAGAAGAAGAGAGTCTTATTGGTAAGACTTTTGAGCTGATTCCTCTTGATCTGATTCATGATATACTCTTGAGACTTCCCGCTAAATCTGCTGTGAGGTTCCGTGCCGTCTCGAAGCTATGGTCATCCATCACCACTCGTCCAGATTTCATCAGGTCGTTCGCGTTTCAATCTTCAAGTCGGCTTTGTCTTCTGGTCTGCGTCAAAGCAGGAGACAAACGTTTATTTATCTCACTGCCCCAACATGAGCTCTCGGTTGACTCCGCATATTGCTCTTATGTGGACCGTTGTCAGATAAAATACCCTGAAGGTGCTTATCGTCATTATCACGATCCAGGCTCCGGATCTGTCCACGGGTTGGTGAGTTTTGGCGATTTTCACGAGATCGTAGTTTGGAATCCTTCAATGAGACAACATGTTACCTTACCCGACCCACCCAAACCCATAGTTAAGTACTATATACGTAGCTGTTTAGGACACGATCCGGTCGAGGATAAGTATAAAGTATTGTGCATCTCAGGCACCCACAGAGGCTACCACGATCCTTTTGTTTTTACATTGGGACCTCAAGAATCATGGAGAGTGGCCCAAAATAGCCCTTCATATACACATATCCCTCTACCCACCATGGGACGACTAGGTATATGCATCAACGGGCACGTGTATTATGAAGCGGAGATACGTTTCAAAGGAGATGGTGATACTATAATATTTGAAAATGTCCTTATGAGCTTCGACGTGAGGTACGAAGAGTTCAACACAATAAAAAAACCACCTGATGATCATGGACTTGGTAACTTGATGCTCAACTACCAAGGAAAATTAGCATGGGTTTGCTCTGAATTAGATTTTTCATGTATAAGATTTTGGGTTTTAGGTGATGGAGACAAACAAGAATGGTCGCTCAACCACTTTGTTTGGCCTTTTCCAAGCTATCCTCAAAATGACCCGATCTTTAAATGCCAACTGCTGATGAGAGGTGTTACTCATGATACTGGTGAGTTTATTTTTACTGCAACAACTTTTGAAGCATTTGCTGTTTTATATTATGATCCAAAGAGAAAGCGTGCAAGGAGGATCGTGTATGAAGGGATTGGAGACGAAGAATTCTGGATTCATAATGGAATTTTGGAAGGCATCCGTCACAATATTGATTGGTTTCCCAATCATTGTGAGAGTCTCATGTCTTTGGGTAATGTCCTTATAAAGGCCGACTAGTCAGAAATAAGAATTGTGGTCTTCCCCTTCCAAGACTGGATGCAGAGGTTATTGCTGGATGCAGAGGTTATTGCCATACTTACCTCGTGATTAATCGTACTTGATATACTAATGAGTGTTATTAACTGTCTGTTTTCAAAGTCGTCCTCCATTTTCTTACGCCTTTATTTTTTATTTATAATGTCTAATGTTCTTAAGCTGAATCCATTGTTGGTCTTCGGTATTTGGTTTGGTTCCAGAACATAATCGCCAAAGCTGATGTTGTTTGGTTTGCTTTTTGACTTTTAAGAATCTGATTTGATAGAGCGTCCCTTTCAGTCCTGCTGCAAACTTGACCTCTTAGGCTCATTCGATGATTCGAATCCTCAATTTTTCACTGATTAATATAATTGATCACATCAAACCCTAGTTTAAACCTTCCTTGTCTGTCACGCTAATTGTACTTGATGTGTGGAAAAAGGTACTTGACCTAATATGAGTTATAAAAATAGACTTGGAAGCCGGTCTGGAACTTAACCAATTTATAAAAACAAGAGTATGTATGAACTATTAGACTCTTGAAGCAACTTGTCTCCTATTGTCGCCTTGTCGGAATGTTAGATATCTGTTTTCGAACGTGCTTGTCCATAAATCTGACTTGGCTAGCTGCTGGTTTTGGGTCCTCTTCAAGCCGTCTCTTGAATACAAGACAGAGCGATCTCTAGGCATTGCACTAATCGTGTTTTAGAGTAATATATCAAAAACATAGAGTCTATTAGATCCATTGATGTTCCTTCAACATAATTTTGCCAAGCCTGCAACAAAACAAAGAGAGACAAAACGTTCACTCGATCAATAAGTCCTTGGATTTGTTAATCTGTTGTTGTCTATTCTTTTTGTTACTTACAAGAGTTGGGAGATCTGTGCCTTCACCAAGCCCTGTTCCACTGTTTCTTTTACCTGTAATGATCTCAGGAACAAGAACTCCAAAACTGTAAACATCTGTTTTTCCACTCAGAATCTTCCGTGCATTGCATACTCTAGAGCCATATATATCCACGACAGAAACAAGAAAGATGAGAGATTGAGATTGATTCTTTGTGTTCTGTTTCTTTTTTTTTTTTTTGTGATTGAGTAGCTAGACTTATTAAGTTCCGGCAACTCTTCTTGTTATTGCTTGAGTTATATCGAAACCGAATTGTCTTGCCGTTCCAAAATCTGAGATCTTAGGTAGCATTAGTTCATCTAAAAGCACATTGGAGGATTTGAGATCACGGTGGACTATCACAAACTCTGAGCCTTCGTGTAGGTAAACACATAGATAAGAAGTATTTCAGAATCTTTGATGGAGAAAACGAAGCGTTTAACAAGATTCTTGTGTTGCAGTTTGGTCATCAGAGACTACTTCCGTCCTAAACTCTGCATTTGCCATCTCCTGATGAATGTATCGATAACCTTTTCACGGCTATCTTTTGCCCATCTTGAAGACGTCTTTGGTTACAGAAAAATTAGTTAAACGCGTTTTGTGTTTAAAACATATTTTACATCAAAGATTCAAACACAAACATTGTGTACTCTTAAAACGTGATGATTTTTTTTTGATTAAATGTATATACAGTATTCTACTATAACTAAGATTATTTATTATATTAAATATTATTTTACCCTATACTAGTCATCCTATATAAAAAGTGTCGATTTTCAAAATCTAGTCAATCATATGATCGTACGTGTGACACTGGTAAGATTTTGACTTATTTTAAAAATAAAACAAGTTTAATATTCTAATAGTTTAAAAAGAAATAATAATTACTTTTAACTTAAAAAATAATATACTTCAATTTTTTTAAAGAATCTTATTATATAAAGTATAGTTACTAGTTTATATATATGATCCCGACACATGTGAAATCTAATGATAAAATTTCAACAAGTAAGAAATTAAAAAAATTAACCAATTAAAATTACCACATGTTCATTTTTTAATCAATTATATTTCAACATTTTTAATCTATTACTAATTTAAAAGAAAATAAATACTTTCTTTCTTTAAAAGACTATACTACAAAACATTTTAAGAAAAGTAGTTTGTACTTTTTTTTTACTAAAATTAATAATGTGCAATATACTTCCATAATTTGAAAAAAAAAGTTATTCAATTATCTTATTTATACAAAGCTAGGTTTTATATAGTACTATGCTGAGACGGTCATTGGTTTGAACAAAGTTGTTGCTATTTAAGCTAAATTTAAATTTTGTAATTTTTCTTGTAAAATTATATGGGAAAATTTGAAATAAATGATCATTTAAAATTATTTTGATTAAATCATTGGTTACCTAAATCAAGTTATTAATCCATAGAAAACAAAAAAGAAAGAAAGAATTGTTAGTGACGATAGAGAAGGAAAGAAAGTAGATAACTAAAGGGACTATATGATTTACAATATACGGAAGTGAGATAAAAATATAACAAGAAAAAACAATTAATTTATGTAGTGAAATAAAAATATAAAACTAATATTTGATATAGCTTGAGATGTAATGATTTGCTATTTATATTACAATATTGTGGTGTTTTGAGAAGAAACAAAATTAATGCTTTGGTACAAAAACATAGTATAGCATATAGGCTGCAAAAAACTAGGAGGATTAAACTTTCTTACACAAAAAAAGTAAAATGTATTCATAAATATATTTATGTAAATGTTATTCTATTTTATTTTAAGAGTAGGAAAAGAAAAATAAACAACTTAGAAAAAAAGAGAAAATTTGATGTAGAGTTGTTTTTTTTTGTTTAATATGAAACGCGAGTGATCATAATGCTGCACCAATGCTGTAACAAAATTTATGTGAAAAACGAGTGATCTCATAATGTTGCAACCAAATTTAATGCAAAAGAAAAAATACTTAAGAAAAAAAAAAAGTACAATGCAACAAAATTTAATGAACCTGATTTTTTTTTTGCCGACCAATAATAAACCCGATTTAATATTCAAATTTAAACCAGGTTACTAACCGAACCGGTTGTTCGGAACAACTTGTTCCCAAATGCAAACAGAGACTTGTCATGTAGAACATATATATCTTTCATGTTTTCTTTTTAATTGTAAACTAGATTTGGACCCGCACGTACGTGCGGGATTGATTTCAAAAACAAAATTTGTTATAAAATTTTCAAATATATTATGTACGTACGGGATTATGTTTGTAAACGTAACTTTTAGGAATGTTATTAACATTTATAATCTAAACCAGTATCAAGTCAATATTTGATTTTTTTTTTAAATTAGGTTAAACAAAAATAACGATACGATTTAGTTTTATTAAAGACAGTTGTACTTGTACCTTAAAAAATAGTAAAACAATTGTAGTTTGTCAATTTCGGGACATAAATCTTGTCTCGTGCGTCTTAATATGTCATGTTTTTCCATTCCATAAGCATTTTAATTATTTACCCATTTGAGATTGTATATTTTAGTCAAACATATAAGAAAATGGGTCAACGATTTAGACTTACACATAAATGTAGGGTTCTATTTGTAGACATATTTATCCACTATAGCATTTATAACATAAACTAATATTGGTTTGCGTTCATGAAGTTTGTGAATGTCGGATCGACAGGATAGCAGATCCAGACTGAGTGTGAACCGTGAGCTATCAAATACGTCCGCTATGCATGCTCCACACTAAATACATATTAAAATATTTTGACCCGCAAAAAATACATTTCCTGTAATCCACTTTAGTAAATAGCATGTCTCCATATGTTCTTCTTAAATTCACGTTACCCAAAATTTTCATCTCATATTCTATCATGAATAGTTTAGATGATTTTTTTTTATGTTTCAAATTTCCCGTACCTGTTATTTCATGTTCTGATATTTGAAATAAAATAGTTAAAACTAAAATTAACAATTCAAATATTTTGTTCATGTATCATACATGTTATTTGATATTTGAAAATTGAAATTGAATTTAGTTTCTTGATTTTATGATCTCCTCTCGTTACTTTTATTTCTCATCATGCTTTTTATGAAAAATAGTTTGGATAATATTTTATTTTTTCGAATTACGATTATGGACTACCTTAACAATGTTCTTTAATTGCATTCGTAATTTTTTTTGTTCCTATAATTATGATATTTTTTGAATTAGAAATATCTATATTTTAGGTGATATTAATTACTATTGTGTGCACATTTGATAAGTAAACATGGTTTTTTAATTTATATTTAAACAATTCAAAATATGGTTAGTACATTTAAAATCTAAAGTTTTGTATTGCTAAATATTTATAAGATCTCAAATATGGTTAGTATAATATGTGCTAATTAATGGAGATTACAATTTGTTTTCTAGATTTTCTTTATACTGTTTTTTTTTGCAGAAAATTAGTAGGGAATATCCAAATAGAAGATTTTGACAATTTAAAGATCCGAACTTTTTAAAAACAATATCGGATAGATAAGTTTTAAGGGTGTTTGACTATAAATTTGGGTTTACATAAAATGTAAATAGTTTTTAAGATTATATAATTTTTAAATTTATAAAACGTAATTATTTTTTAAGATTATATAATTTTGAAAAATTTGATGATATTATTAACTATGTTGTATATTTCTCCACATGTTATGCTTTGTAGAATTTGATTAGTCGCTTATTTCCTAATCTAACATAATTGTTTTTCGTTTATTTATCCTAAAATATCATTTTTTCTAAAATATATGTTATATTTTTATTAGATTTTATTTACATAAATTATAGTTTTTGAAAATATTTAAAAAATATAATTTAGATTAAATATGTTTAGATATGTTTAATTTCGAATGTAATTGACTATTTTTATGGTAACCGAATCAATCTTATTTCCATAAATATAGATAGGTTTGTTTTTTTAATTATCCTTTTTTAATAATCCTTTTAATTGTATATAGTATGATCACTTTATACAAAATGCTTCCCTTTTAATAATAGTATAGATTAATATTGGACTAACCTGGATTCTTCATGTTCCATGAAGTACAGAGGAGACGCTCCTTTGCTTACTTGTCCCCTTCTTAAAAACAGATTAAAAGCTGTCTTTTAATACATAAACAATTGCAAAGAGAGACTTGTCATTAGGATCAAACACATTTACACAGTCATTCACCATGTCAAATCCAATACCATTAAATAACTGTTTTTTTGCTCCTTATCTAAGACGACATATTCCACAGTTTCAGACAATAACTGTTTCTTCACCCATTCTTCTTAGAACTGTTCTTCGTCTGTATATTGCCACAGATCACAGGTAAATTAATGAATCTACCTTAAAATATCAT